AGACACGGGACATAGAATAGATCTGGAGAATGTGGAAGTTTTAAGACGGGGACTGCGATTCACACCACAGCGGCTGATAGCCGAGGCGGTGGAAATCACTAGGCCTCACAGCGTGAATAGAATCGAAGGTGTGGAGCTAGCGAGCGTATGGAGGGCGGTCTTAGATAAGCCGAGTTGACACGTGACGATATGGTTGTCAATCCACTTAGGATCATTAGAAAAAACCGGGGGGTGGGGGGTGTAAACCCCAACCGACCAAAGGTCACAGCATCCCTCTTACACGACTTTCTTAGTTCTAGCTCACCCACATGGACTGACTGAAGGTTCAAACGAAGTTCAAGAGGAACCATCAAATGAACCGAACCAGACGAACTAGACCCTAGGCTGGACCCAAACACATGTAGATTTCCCCACCGACCCAACACTTGTTCGACCACTCTAACACACTAAAATCCCTCGGCCGACACCCAACAGAGATTTAGCTTGACTTAGCTAATTGGTTCTCCTTCCGCCTTAAATATCGATCAACCTCGGAACCTAGTCACTTGGCCTGACGGAGCTTTTGTGTCAAAAGCGAAACATTGTCCAGCAATAAATCTACCGATTGTCACCAAGCTTTTTCGAAAACAGTGCGCTTCTATTTAGGAATATACGGGATGTAGCAAACAGCATAGGAACCGAAACGAGCCCATCCATGCACTATTAAACGGCAGTAATTTTGAATTTATACCGGGTTAACTTCGATTCCCGTTACATTAAAATCCGTCAGAGAAACGCTTTTTGGACCACAACCTACATGCAGTGTTTCATATGGATATCAACTTAGAACGGCGTTCTGGTAGGAACAGGAATCTCAGCCCAGAAGGGAAGCGAGTTAAAGGAATTTACACGATACAGTGCCAAAGCTGTCCAGAAATATCTGTTGGATGAAACTTGAGGTACGGATCTATGGTATGAAAGGTAATCTTCCAATATGGCTTCAGCAGTACTCTGCCATTGTTGCTCACTTGTCAGCTAGAGAGCGATGCGTAGAGTTTCAAAACGCATGTGCTTCGTAGTCAGACCTCAGCGTGTCAGACCTCAACCTCAGCGTGTGTATTCAAAAGCATTAGCCATCAAACCCAGCAATGGTGAACGTACACCGTCCACTAGGCTGCCGGTTCCAACCACAGAGGGTCATTGCAGTCGTTTCCAGTTGACTCTGGTTCGATTACTCGTTCATATCCGGGCTTGCAGCAAGGTGTAACCTGATTTGGCCCTGTCACAAGCAAACTACATACATTTCGATTGTATGATCACCGATCTACTCATTTTGTTTTACTTATTCTCTTTGTCTTTGGGTTACTCTCCCTGATAGAGGTGACCCTTAGCTACCGAAACAGATTGAAAAATAAGTTCGAGTCGCGTGATTACTTATCAGGTGTTTCCACAGAGATGTAAAATAGTGCGCTGCTGAAGGTTTTTCAGCTCTCCGACCAATTACCCCAGAGATGTTACACTGACTATTTTGTGGATCAATTACATGATCCTCAGCATCTCTAGTCGTATGATGACATACCCTGACACGACCGCAATTAGTGCAGAAAACCGATCGTGTTCACACAGCAATCAGATAACTTTCGGGTTTATCATCATTATTGTAAACCCATCAGCAATCCTGAATCATGTTATGGAAACAGACCGCTTCATTTTCCTTGGGTGTGGTCTTTGATTCGGTAGCGAGACTGAGACTAAGCCGTGTTATCGCGGCATCTACAAGCTTTTCTCAAGTGGATTTGTGAAGTTTTCATTTTTGTACCAGTCGCTGGGTGTGCTGAAGAACAACTTTGTATAGTTTAGTGGTTTGCTGAGTGTAATTTGGATTGGTATTCCTTAGGACGGCATTGATGGTCTGTTGCACACACTACCCCATCATCCCCAATCTGAGACTGCTTATGTTCTGTCCCACTAGGTTTGATTTGGAATCAATGACTTTTGGGAGACCATTTTTCGGTTGCAGATCACGCTATCTGTTCCGAAGACCTAGCTTCCTCTCCCATCGAAGACCAATGTGAAAAATTGATGGGTAGCGTTTTCTACCCTCTCGGTACCAAACTGGTAATATACTATGACCGTCAAACTGTCCTTCAGATAAAAACCCATTGATACTCCTTTTTCGGGGATTTTCCACACATTTCACAACACGTATGGAGACCATTTGTGTTCGCAGAAGACCAGGTGGGCTAAGGATGTTCGCCAAAAATATGTACCTGAGCTTTTTGTATAGTAGTGACGACACAGATGATGTACTTTGTAGGCGGTGCAATATAGGATGTCGTCATTAGGTTAGGGAGTCCGTGGGACCAGTGAAGCAGTATAAAGAATACTAATTAGTTCTGGGTCACTTTTAATTGTACACAGCTGCCAATGGCTATTGATTTCATCGTTCTTGGGGTCTATCAGGTGCAAGTGGTCCCAAAAATTCAGGCAACTTTAATTTTTTCTCGAACACCAAATAACTCGTGTGAGTACGCATTGTGTGGCAACAAGGTATTCTCACGAATCTACTGCAGCTATATCACTTACGATAATTCCTGACCGAGTATGACGCGCTATCTTTTGAGCGGATATAAGTACTTTTACTTAAGACTGGCACCAACAACCCAATCCTGGTTACGCTTTGTTGTTGTCGGATTCCAGCTTCTTATCTTGAATGCAGCTTTGCATGTATACCTTCAAACTAGTCTCATATGGATGTTTACTGATGATATTTTTGTACCTTATTCTCCTTATTTTTTGTTCGTATGTTTGGTAAGTAAATCCCCGTTCAAATGCTAGCGACGAGCTTGCGGTTAATTCGAGTCGGTTTCTGTTGCTGGACTCTAATGCCTGACCTCAACTTGAAGTCCGCATATATGGCAACCGACTGTTGCTTCCAGGGGCGCATGCTGCAAGCAAGATGTATATACACTTCGTCGGCCTCCTCCTTGTGTTGAGTTTTTTTGGTCCACTTGACTGTTGTGTCAACGGCACCGAGTAGGGTTTGGGCAAAACTGGAGTATCTGCTTGCATAGCTTTGTATTTTCCAACTAGAAGTGCAATGTGGTTTTCTTGTTAAGATCTTTTTTCTGTTCATGCACTCATCAACCTGTAGGGTAAACACAGTATTTCCGCACCTGGCCAACGGCTGTTATTGATCTGGTTTAGTTCCACCCATGTGGGTCACGTGAGTTGAGTGCACTGTGCGTTTGGTGGTTAATGGAGCCTTTGTGAGCAGTGAGCTTTAAAGAACAGTGTCACGTGTGAAAGTGTAATGGACCGAGACGACTGGAATATTCTGGAGCTTGGTGATCTGCATTGTCGCTGTCTTTGAGGTCATGCCGAAGTCACCTCAGGAGGCAGCCATCGGTCATCAACTGGACTGAACTACAACATATTAGGTTACGTCTGTGTGTTCGCTTTTATGGGCTAGAGCGCATGTGTGTCGGAATATAGGGACCATTCCGGAACACCACCGCAACTGGAAGGACACCACGATAGAGCATGTCGAAGTTGAAATTTGGACGGGGAGCATAACCTTTTCAACTATTTGGTGAACTTTGAATCTCGTTATAACATCCTATGGTAAAAGGTTAAAATCTGAGAACCGCACCAAATGTGACGAGACCGTTGGTGGACTGTGGGCACATCACAATTATTATTACTGTACAACACACAAAGAAAGATTCACTAGTATTGGTGAGTATTCCAGGAATACTCTTTCGTCAACGTTATTAGAACGAAAAAGAGCAGTCGTAACCGTGACACACTTCACCGTTCAAGCGTACTACTTTTTGAGCACAAAGCTTACTGATTGAAATTCAAATATGGTGTAATTATATCGTAAATATGCATCGAGGACGGTACTCTTACTATAGGTTTTCTAGAAAATAGACGTCTAGTTAGGCATACTAACCATTCCCCGTTGAATGCGTTCAGTCTGATATCGTAATCTGGGCTGCTGAATTCTGATGTTTGGAGTTTACTTTATGACGCCTAATCTAAACATCTGTACGACTTGTTGTGACACAGTTTGTGAAACGAATGCAGCATTAATCTTGATTGATTATATGTTCTTTGAAATAACTACTCACCAGTTATTGAGCAGCTTAGTTGGTACCCACCGAGTTATGAAACAGTGAAAATCCTTCTTCTCGCTTTACGATATAATAATGAATTGGTATTCACGCCCTCATCCTTTTCAACCCATCGACAACTATATTCTCGTTCTTCTCCTCAGTGCGTCATCTATCTATTTTGCTTGAAAATGCTGCACCCGACCAGTTTGTTCCTTCTTCGAGGGAATCACGAATGCCGGCACTTGACACAGTACTTTACATTTCGACAAGAATGTAAGTTAATTGATCTATGAGGAACTTCTTATTACCATTGTTTAACACACGAGCAATACTTCACATTCGATGACCTTCCCACAAACACCATTTGGTAACATTAGCACATTTTTGTGTAGAACTCAAAGTAGATAAGACTGTCGGGCACCTAGGGATCAACTGTTTGAGATTAAATTGTTTGCTCTTAAGTTGCTGTAACTTGTTATCTACAAGCTAATTTCATTTAAATCTTCGAATCAGTCGCCACAGGGAGATTGGCCGGAGGATGCCGGGTGTTCTCTTTAGCCTACCAGATAGATTCAGTTGTCGTCGCCTGTCCTTCCCCTTTGTTGATGTGCGTCTGTTCTTCCACATATTCAGCGTCCTGTTAAATAGATTGTCTTATAGTTGTGAGCACTTCCCGTACGCCTATCCCGATCGTTCATCGTACCCACTCTTAGTGCTCAACTTGTCTATCTCCATTCCACTTTTATTCTCTTGTCCTTACTCCAGGTGTAATGAAAAGCACTGAACGAGTTTACGAAGCTTGTATGGAGGCCTTCGACTGTTTGCCCCTGGCAGCACTGATCAATCAACAATTCCTATGTGTTCACGGTGGCCTTTCACCCGAACTGCACACCCTAAACGATATCCGCAAGGTAAGGTTGTCAAAATCAAACGCTTGAATGCTTTAGTCAGTCTCAGAAACCTGTGATAGTGTTGAAAAGTCTTGGGAACCACAACTCATGCCAGGTTCCCTCTTAAAATGCCAATTAAATATATGCTGACGCCTTGCACACCGGAACAGTCCCACCGACAAGTGCCATAGGTTCCAGATGCCCACCGTCACCATTTCAACTATAAGTGTTCGTGATCACCAGACTACTGTTAAGTTACCAGGTTATCCAGCTATGGTTTGTTAACGGAGAGTCTCACGCGGAGGGCACTGACGCACTATGCTGCAACCTAACGACAAGGTCGTTACCTCGGTGTTCTCTGTAATGCTTCACGCGAGAGCTAAATGATAAATTTTGATGAGCTTTAGTGTTCGCCCAATGATTATGTCCCTTTATGTTTGCCTTTGATGATATTTTCGACATTTAAGTTTACTGCAAATCCTCTTTTGGTTTATCAATACACTATTTGCGGTAGATAAATCACGTGGGAAACTCGGTACTTTACTTTTCTAACCCACATCTTAGTATGGCGGAAATATGTTATTTTTGGCTATGAATGAGTACCAGCTGGAATAAGCACTTCATACGACCGTAGGACAGATAGTTATACGTGGTTCTTTGAGAAATACGAGAAATACCGTTTCGGTGCCTAACTGCCATGCCAGCAGAAGGAGGTACGAGGGCTAGGATACTCCTAGGTTGCCCAAGCCTAGACAAGATCGGTCAAGATGCTGAGGTTGGGTTCAAACTACGGAACTTCCAGTCCGTAAGCTGGTGCCTCAACAACTCACCCTTCTCAAGAAATGACGTAAAGTGAATCCAACTGTATGGAATCCTTGGTTATCTTCACTGCTCAACTGACCGGTGCGTTTTGGGTAAACATCTACTGCATTAATCTCAGCCTTTCCAAAGCCTTCAGAATCCGGGTTCTCCTGCATGATCACTCGTTCACTGACCCATTTACAGCCTTTGATTTACCGTTCACTCCCCTCTGTGAAGTAACCATTTATGTGGCAGACCCGCATGATCTCTTCTAAGTTGGTAGTAGCCCATGCAGTGCGGCCTGTCTTCGAAAGTCAGTTTGAAATCATCAGGACATCGGTGGACGCTGAACTGATGATTTCAGTTTGAAAAGAGGTGACTGTACTTTCCAACACACCAGACCAACTTCTTATCCATCTCTCCACTCTCTACATTCCAACTCCTCGTTGTATCAGTTGTTTTTTGTTGATATGCGGCGGCCGCTGATTTCAAAACTTACTAGCAGTCCATTGGAGAGTATAATTAAGTGTTCGTTTCAGTGTATTAAGGTCCACAGTGCTATCGGGTAGGCTGAGTGGATTCGGCAGAAGCATGTGACGATGGAGACTTGTTGCGTAGCACCCTTTGAGTGGTAGAATTCTCGTTGTTCGTCATTGCCCAGGTGTAAGAGGGTTTATCCTTATTTGTAAGGCGGAAAATTTGCACAGTGCTCGAAACTTGCATTAATTCGGATTTACGGACCTCGACAATCGAACCTGGGAAGTGGTAGCGGAAGTAGATCGTTCGTAATTCAACCGCTGAACCAAGTATGGAATAAGCCACTATCTGAAATAATGTGGTTTCGCCAACTCATCATCTTCACAGTTCCACTCGTAACTCAGCGTAGAGTACTTACTCAGGGTGAGCCGTACCATCAGTGTCTAGTGCACTTGTGGGGTATATCCTATAGGCTGTTTGGTCCATACTTTCCTCATACATTGCCATTACTGCTGCTGGTTATCCACGTCTGTTTAATGTTGAAGCAAGCACTCACTACGGCCGTGCAACAGGGACGTCAAGAAACTTATGTCCCAAGCACCAGAAGCTGGGATGGTGTGGCCATGTGTTACGCATACCAAGTCATCGTTTCCCGAAAAGAATGCTGTTTTTCTCTATGCAATTTGAAGTGGCCCAAACAGCGGTTCGTGTACTGCTGTTATTTTCTTCACAACAATGCTTTCAGTTAAATTATGGTTTCATGGCAGCGAAGCATCAGTGTCGATTAGGATGATGACATCCAGTTGGTACGTTTCTTTCTGCGAATGGCTTTCTAAGAAGCCTACTGTCTGCTCACTCAAGGTTGGAGACAACTACTATCTTATGATTCCACAAGAATATAGATACCTGGCAAAAGCACTTGACATCACTCACAGGGTCTAGCGCTTTTAGGTCATTTTTAAGAGTCCACAGGGGTATCCAACGTCCAACTTCCATGTCAGTTGATCATCATGAACGCTAGTTAATTTGTTATCGGTAGCTCCATAGTCCCTGTTCATATGTTTGCACGCTCTCGGAGTTCGATGAACTTATACGGTCGGTTTCAACTGAGTCTGGTTCATGAAGGCATCGAAGAAAGGGTCGAAATAATCCTATTTCATCAGGAAGGTCAGATTCCTGAAAGCAACTTCAGAACGCCCGGAACCTACTGCTCCAGCAAAAACTCAACTGGAAAGCCGGCAAGCATCCAGGCCAATCAATCATTCAATCAATTCAGCAAGACCTGGTGAGTGTTCTTGCGACCACAGAAGCACGACCGAATGTGATCAGCGTTCAGGCTTTTCACAGAGGCACGATCGATGTTGATGGGTGATCACTAACGCCTATCAGACAGCCTGGATCAATGTCAGAAAGTCCCCTTTAAATAGCGTGGGGCCGTTGTAACTTTTGCACTCGCACTCGCTCTCGCACTCGCACGCACTCACTCGCTTGTTCGGAATATAGCTGTTGTGTTCCCTTCTGTGAGTCTTTTCTCTCCGACACTAGGCACTGGAGCGGGTCAGCAGCAGATACCACAGATTGACGAACCATCAGATATAACTCCCTGGTTCATGAAGGCATCGAAGCAAGTGTGGAAATAATCCTATCTCATCAATGTAATCTTATGGGCCGCCTTGGCTTTCATAACAGTCGCCGTAATCCTAATCATTCTCCAAAGAACATTCCCATTCTGATGAAAACAGCTTATTATAAGTGTATTTCTTGAAAACAGTGCAATTTGGGTCCAAGTAGATCATAAGGTTGACGGAAACTCGGACTGCGCCTACCTGATGAGCCCCAAGATGGGCGAAACCGGTCGTGGGCTGTCGAAGGTTTTCAGCTACCTTGTGAGTAGTTTCCTTATTATAAGTGGTTTGGATCCAAGGCGGACTTGTAGGCGTGTAAATCCTCGGTCGAGTGCTATGGAACTGAGGTTAACTGTGCTACTTGCAAGTGCTCACTGCCAATGTACACCCTATAAAATACGGTTGGCGGACAAACACGCAGATGACTGTTGTTAGCGTCCAATAGAATTCACTGGGATGGATGACATCACAATGAGCGTGACTGGTTCAAATAAAACGTATATGGCTTTGTAAGAACGACCATACAACACCGTTAACTAGCTTGATTATATATTTCAGCAACTAGTTACTACCATTGACTTTGATGTTGCTCAGCGGAAGGATTGGTATCCTTTCTTGTATCCCTTCTCACACAAGGATTCAAAATCTTACTTATGTTGTGGTAAAGACACCAGTTATTGCCGAATGCTTCTAGCTGGGTAAATGCTACTAGACTTCTCCTTGGAGCGGGATGGACTCAACTAATTTAACTTGAAAACCGAAAAACAACAGTGATCTGGTGTACATCTCAGTACATATTAAGCCGGCCCTCCTACATCGTTCTAATCGGGTTATCCAGTTCATACACTACTCGAGCTTCACTTACACATCGGCTATGTTGCTTTCTGACATTAGGTGCGCTACACACAGAGTCCCCAGAAACAAATTAGAGTTGTACAAAAAATAATTTTGAAACCCTTAGTGTATGGGATGATGGTAGCTGAGGGATCCCTCGTGGTTACGATTACTGAGAAATCGGAAACTTATTGATGGCCTCATAATAGCCATTAGTATCTATTGTTTTACTAGATTACATCGCAATGTTTACTAAAGCAATCCATTCAAGCTAGGAGTGCCTTTGTTTTACTCGACTTTCTGGTGTCTCGTGGTCTTCTTTTCTCTACTTTTACTTAAACGAATAGTTCCACTTATAAGACATTCTTAATTGCCGCTGGTAAATAGGTGGCCATGCCACTAATACCCGTAACAACTTGGTCAACCATTTTATTATATAGCAGTTACGTGAATGTTGTTTGAACGCACTTAGTTTCATTTGGGGAATTTCCCGCCCGGTTGTATGTGTGAGGATAACAACCGTGCCCTTCGAATGGACGGTCAGATGATCGGTATGAACTGCATGCTTCTATCTCGGACCTCACGTGGGTTATAAAAATGATTTATGAGAACGAAGAAGGTAGCGATGTATTAGCCAAGGTGAACAATCACAGAAAAATTATTTAATTTTTCAATTCTGGATTCCGTGCCCATCTGGAAAACGGAGAAGCACTGTGCACCTGTTTCGTCCTCGTCGCGATTCATGACAATACACATGCCATGATCTATTGGTTAATTTGATGGCTCAAGTGGTTACAGCGCGAATTTACTGACCAGAAGGTCCGTGGTTTGAACCCGGTCGCTACCTCTCTACTTCCTCTGTCTAGGTTTGGGCGACCTGGCAGTATCCAAGCCCTCGTGCTTTCTCGGGTAGCCTGGTTGTAAGGCACCGAAAGGGTGTCACAGCTGAGCGAATGATTGATAATAGATGAGCACTATACCATTCATTCTCGCGTGGCTGCATAGTAGTGCGGTTGACGTTCATTTAAGGTAGCGATGGAGTATTGCGGTAATCAGTACCTTGGGGGACTCGGAAATTTGGAACTTCCGTAGTATAGCAGCCAGAACGTATCAGCATCTCATGGTGCCATCTGTGGAGGTACAACCGCTTGAGCCACCGTTTTGCATTACTGGTCTTCATATCGAATACATTTAATGACAGTGTTATGATGCTGTTAGGGAGTTCAATATTAGAGGCTTGAAGAAGGATGCTAACATATTTCTTCACATTTTCTGTCTGGGACTCTTCCTATTCTGTTCTTAACAGAGGTTCAAACTTCTATATCCCTACTTTTAACTCAAATTTTGTTTATCCTTCTGCCCCAAGGAAAAAAAGTACGCTGTTTATACTCAACTGCAATGATGCCTCTGAGATCCTTACTGGTCCCGACGATAAGCCCAGATAGATTTTTTAAGCAGGTGCCTTATTCTAAATAGACTTCCACATCAATTTCAAGTCCACAATCCCGAAGTAATTGTTTTCTTCTCTAACACTGACCAGGCACGTCGTGAAGCTGTGTCGTTCTGCTTCCCGAGCCTCTTTATCTTAAATTGTCTCATTTTCGACCTGCATTGCAAACTGTAGTGGGTTTATTCTTTACGACTCTTCATTGTTCCTGCGCGTCTTCCATCTAGCTGTCCGTTGCGCTAGACGCTTCCGACCATTACCTGACTATCCGTTCCAATGTGATTGCTCCCACCTACTCCTCGTAACTCTTTATCGTACTTTCTGGCAAAGAATTGCATCACTTGTGTTTGCCGAACTGGTGCACTTCAAATGACCTTTCTCAGCGTACTGGTAATTCGACTGGTTTGTCGCTCAATCATTTGTTCCACTTTACTCCATACTTTCCCAAGTTCAGCAAGTGTTCGTTTCCGACGTGGTTCAACCCTGTTTATCTGCATTCTAATAACTGGAAGAATCACTTTTATACATGCTCATCTTCATCATCGATGGCATAACGTCATGGTCGCGCATGCGTAATCTACTTAAAATCCTTAGTCTGGAGAAAAGAGTAAAAATGGATGGGAAAGGGAGTTAATATTAGCCTACCACAATCATTTCGAAGTACGTATATCCCCAGACACTCACCAAGGCAATCTGGACACAAACTGACGACAAGGACACCGCAGACATCGACCAGGAATCATACCTCGCAGCCAGTCGCACCGGATATCACGCGGACCCAGTTCTGAAAGGTGTCAACGCGACGACACCCAAAGTTTTCGTAATCCCTTCCATACCCGTCTATCAGGTCAGAGGTTGACCAGCTCTTTGCTTCCGCTACCCTAAATTGGGCGCGGAAACCAACACTCACTTTGGCGAGCGTTTGTTCCGCCTGCGGAATGCATGCTCGGATTTTTTCCGGCATTCCGTGCTCCAAACTGTCAATCATATTACTCTTCGTTTCTGCATACCATTCGGAACAAGCCACCCTTCCTCAAAATGTCGCGTTTATCTGTTCATTTTCTCAGCCGCCAAAATTTGGAGCTCATTTATATGTTTTCTCCTGCAATATCCAGCTTTCTAAAACTCATTCGTCCCGACCTGCCACCTTAGTTATTCCATGTTTGTGAACTGAAATCAACCGAAAATCAACTCAGTTGGAACAATACACCATCACCAACGGCCGGGTCTTGAATTTCAATTCAATTCAATTTATCAGCAATAAACCGCGTGCCATAGCCACATTAGTTCCAGCTGCTACAGTTTGATCACCGGGAGACGGGAAAGTGGAATATACAACGAAGCCTTGGAGGCAAAGGCTAACTACGCATTGAAGGCGATAGCTTTGATGCACGAACGCTACTAGATGCGCTGTTGGGCCATTTCCGCCAATGTCATTAACCACTGGTGATTGGAGTCCCGGGATCCTCAGCCAGGGAAGTGGCCCTACTGACGAAGCTAATGGTATCTACCTTTTAGTCGACCTTGAAGCCGAACTTCGGTTGCTGGAAAGTATACTGCATGGCCATGATCATTCGAGCGGGTTTGTTTCACGACGTGGTGACCGTAAATGAAGGGATCAAAACAGTCACGATACAACGGATATCTAGTTCCATCACTCCTCCCTCCAAAGGGGATCTACGTGTAAACCGGCCGACTCAACACCCACATTCGGACTACTTAAATCCAATCCGACTTTTGCTTCACGAATAGACTAGACCTTATCATGGTGCGACGGTATGCACGTCTTTTTGACCATTTGGGCCATTTTGAGGGGCGAAATTCGAGGACTCACATTCCTGGTTACTCTGGTTAGAGGTCTGACCAAATAGGCTCCTTGTTTGGAACGAGTGTGGCGGCTCTTTCTTCAAACAATCTAATGCGCTGGTGTTTCTTGCCAAACACCGCTACCTTACTGTTTGATCTGTGTGCTGGTGACTCGTGTAGATCCTTAATAGTTGTCCTCCCTAGGTTTGAGTGCCTTGTCACAAGCTCAGCCAGTGCACAACTGTGCTTCCCACAACCAACAATAATTCCATATCACTTCGCTTGTCGTGCTATGCTCACCGGGGCCGCCATACATTCTGCGTACAGCATACCTGACATTAGCCTAGCCCTTGTGCTTTCTTCGGGTGGCATGTCAATTAAGCACCGGTAATTGGGCAGCCTTCACACTTACTGCCTCAGGATACTACTTGGTGTTCGCTGAACTAAGCTGTCTCCTGGCACGGAGGAACACCTACGGACGTACTGTGATGTAATAGAGGCTTCGATTACACTTAGTCGCCCGAGGCATGTTGACTGGGATATGTGTTCTGACTGGACGGGAAGAGCATTCCCAAAAAGCTTCTTTATAGTCAGCTAAATACATGGTGCCCTGGCATACAAATCCTTCGATATCCAAACAACTTGGTCGAAAAACTAAAAGTTACCGGCATGGGTCTCATGAAGTGGGATGCAGATGCGGAAAACAGGGCAGCATGGACAAAGAGGTGCGAACTGGCGTTCGTCAGCTCAAAGCTGGTAGCTTTGAGCCGGGATGAAGCCTGAAAGATCTAACGGTATCATCGAAGTTATTGGACCTGAATACCGACCTACGAGGGCTAGAGTCATGTGTGTGCTGATCGAATTGAACCAGTAGGCCACCAGCAAGTACACAGTGATCTGTTGGCAAGACATCAGTGTATAAAGAATGTTTATGGGATCATAGCTTTCCGAGCTCACCAGATAGCTGTGTCCGCGGCGGTACCGTGACCATTGCTGATTGAGCAATTCGGTGTTAGAAGTGACTTGCAGTAATCGCCGTGCGGACGGCATCAGGTCGAATCATCTATAACTACAGAACACTCGGCCGATGTGTTCGGAGTTCGGCTTATTAGTAATGCAGTCCCTGGTCTATTCGGTGCGGTCACCATTGTGCGCCGGTGTCCGTTGACATAAATCGACGTATCAGGTCAATCTGGAAACAGATGCTTGACCACCATTCTCGGATATTTCACTGATGTGATAATCTTTTACGTGTTCTCAGAAGGCATTGCTTGTAGTAATGACTCTGCTTGAATGCTCGAAAACTTTCAGTAGCTTTGCGACACATTTTTATGTTACATGACCAAGAATGAACACCAATGTGGCTCAGCGTGTAAGGCATGCATCAGTTGTGTTGGTAGACATTCAAGAGTGAAACTAACTGAGGTATAGTGCTAACTAATTGCTGTATTCTCATGTGCCCACCTGTTGGACGAAATGAGCCAAGTAAGCAGTAATCAAATGTTACAAGTGGTGTGCATAGCAGCCTCAACCTCATTAGCTGAATTTGAACTTGATCTGGATAGCGTTGTGACCTCACGACAATAACATCAGTCAAATGGTTTTTGAATTATAAAGCTCCCAACAATATAAGACTACCTGCACGAAATCAAATAATTATCAGACATACCACTTTCCAAAACTTTGAGCTCTCTGACCTGTGAGGCCTTCCAAAGTTATTATCCGCACATGTTTGCTAGACAGTAAATACTGCTGTAAGAAAAAACATCATATTCCTGTTTCCATTTATATGAATGCGCTTTTGTTGGAATATAATATCACTGAGGACATTTGGGACGGAAATTGTTGTCCTGATGCCATCGGTACATCGTTAGGTTTATTTTGGCGATAGATGCTCTGCAAGACTGTGTTCCGCCTAAACTTTTAATGTCATTTACCTTATCTAAGCGGAACACAGTAATCGGGCACTTTGATTGCCCGGACTTCACATGGTACAACTCAATGCGCCGAACCTCCAGGTGCCTAATGTTGGTTCATGCAGAGAAGCGACTCCACTAAGAGCCATGAGGGGGCTTATAAGTCTTTTTCTAATTGGTAAAAAAGAGGTAAACACTATTTTTCGCGTAATTTTCACAAAGTACTCATTTTATGGTCGTCGCTGCTCTAGAAACTCGTGTATAGTCCCACTTCATTTGAAAATACTGTTTTCAGAGCATTTCGGTTCTTGTTTCATCTTGGTGGGAATCTCTTAGCGGGCAGTAGCTTAACGTAAGGATCAGTTCCAGTGTTCATGAACGGTAGTTCTTGGAACAGGGAAGCGACTTATCCAAATGTCAGAAAATTTTGAAAACTGTTTTCTTTTTAAAGAGGAGGTTCATTGGTGGTGCGTTTCCTTGCTAGGAACATAGTTGAAGATTGACTGATTGAGTCTAACGTAGTGGTTGTGGAGCTTATCGTTTGTCGCGTTCACAGCTTCCCCACCCAGCCCTGTTTGCATGTAGCGGTGGGTGGAAAGTGTTGACTGATGTATGCTATCTCCTGTGTTACCGTCAAAACAGTTCGTTAGTCTTATTCATGTTTAAAGATTGGCACCAACCGAATCTCAAGCCTGGTCATTTCGGTTAACTGATGAACGATCTCTTCTGCCAACCACCTTAAACAACATCCGTTTTTCAACAATAACATCGCTTCTAATTGATCATCCTGTTTATCGGATAATCTCTCATTCCATGAGCTCACATCCGTCCAGTTATGATCAATCATTCATCCACGGGGTAACTAACATCCAACGGATTCATTTCATTCCGTTACTCACTCCCATTAGGCCTATTGATTAATTTCCTGATTACTGAAACGGACCTTCAGATATCCACCGAGACGATTCTGCCGTGGCTAAATCACACATCCAAAGAGTTTGCTTTTCCTTACGCTCATGGTTTTCCATTGTTCGTTGTTGGGCTTACAAGACTGTATATGCCGTTCGGAAGACAGGTTTGTTGATTTCACACTGGCCTGGTGCGAGATCCAGCTGAGACGAACTGTTGCTCTCAAACACTTGTATTCTTTTCATCCCTTCTGATATGGTTACCCACATAAAGCAGTTTGAACGAGCACAAAATTCACAATTGAATATAGTTTCTATACCAGTCTTGAGCCACGGTCAGCCTTGGGTGCTTATGGTGAATAGAATCCCACCACGGGAGTTAGGTTTTCAGTTGAATTCATCTGTCGGAAATATTGTTGTCGTCACAGTTATACGAACAGGGAGTTTTCTGTCTGGCTTTGCGTTGAATGGAACTCTAAATGAAGACGAAGTAACAGGCAACTGAACTAGCTGCCTTATGCCTTTGGGATATAAGCTTTACGAAATCTTTAGTCTTCTTTCCGTGTTTCTAGTAGGATGTTTCGCATACTTTGTCGGCTGTAGTGACGACGTTTCCCATTTCATCTTTGTGACGCTTTGTAACATATTCCATTAGTTTCGCTAAAGTCACAAAACGCAAAATCCTCGTGTTGCTAGCCAAACGTGGTGCCCAGCTCTGTCACCTTATCAATTATTTCTGTTTTGAATAGCTGGATCGGTTCAAGGAGCCCCCGGCCTACGGGGCTATGTGTGACCTACTTTGGTCCGACCCGTGTGAAGAATTTGGTCAAGAACGGTCTTCAGAACATTTTACCCACAACACTGTCCGCGGATGCTCCTATTTCTACAGCTTCAGCGCCTGTTGTCATTTCTTGCAAACTAATAACCTTCTGTCGATTATTCGTGCTCACGAAGCTCAGGATGCAGGGTAGGTTTTCGTACGTTATGTTTGGAATACGGTCGCCCATTGCCTCGTCTAACGACTTCGATTCTTTGTGTCATTCTATCTTTTTAAGACCAAAATGCCTTGCACAAAGACTGATTTACAACTAACTGGTTGCCAAACAGACGAGATTTTTTCTAGCGATACTATGTTCCGATTTCTTTTTGTGCTAATACTCCCTTAACCCAATCAGAATTGTGTTCTTTTGGAATGGAATTGCTGATTCGTTAGTTGATAGAATTGAAGCCCTCTGGAGTTTAGTAGTTCCTAGCTGAAGCAAACCCATCATCCTTCCATACTTTTGGATCCATAAGTCACGAATTTAAGCCGATATTTTCGTCAGTGTGTTTTGAGAGCCAAACGCTATTTTGTGTGCAAAAGTTTTCGGGTTCGAAGTTTGCCTCCCCATCTCCGAATCAAATCCGTATTTCCCGTTTTCGCCGAGTCATTTGTGTTCGAGCTGTTTGTGTATTAATTCTCTGGGTACTCAATCGTGCGAATATCACTGTTTTCAGTCCGAAGTTAAACTTGGCTGTCCTAACACCCAAGATGATATATTTCTCAGCTGTTATGATCTACGCCTGGGATCAGCATCTAGCCTACAGTTTTCTGTGCTGATCGTTCGCATACCCGGTATCCCACATGAGAGGGAAACCAACATGTATTGCATGCAAACAGACGTGTCACCATCTCAGTCTTGTCCGGAGAATCGCACCTCTTATGCACTGCCGACATGATTACGGCTGGTATGCTGCTCAACTAACTAGTCGTTGGTATTCTGGAGGAAATCAATCCTGGGCGACTGAGTGGACTTCGAAACGGTTGAGTACGGTTGACTTTTTTGCCGCAGGAGAAATGTCTTGGGCGAAACAAACTATTCTACTAAATGTTCATCGAATCCACTCAGTTAACACAGAAACACTGGGTCACTCACAAAAACCTGGTTGCCCAAGCGTATCTGGCAACCCCACAATGAAATGGAAGCCACCGTGCAAACCTGTGCAGCTGTCTCGAACGAATCCTATGCAACATCAATTCTCAGCCAACTGCGCGGAGCCGTTCTGCCATTGCAAAGATCATATAACATGGTATTTCGAATTGGTCGGTTTTTCGGAGCCTTTCCTGGCCAAAACATTGCGGTGAAGTCCAGAATCCGGTCGACTTTGCCATATTTTCACATTCTTAAGGGGCATTCGGTTCAGCGTCATCCCGCTTTGGTATGCAAATCTGATACGCTTGTCGTCTATCAGATTGCCTTGGGGGTTCAATATGAAACGCCAAGATCCAACTAAGTGGTTGTGAGGTAGCATGATACACGGATTTATGCTTTCTTGATGGCACACTATCCACAGATCTTGCACTTGATAATGAGTCCAACGCACGAATTGCAAAACTCATCGGAGCATTCGGTCGTTTTTGGAAGCGCATTTGGAGCCATCAGAATTTGCACGTAGACACCAAGACATCATTACATGGGGATGTTTGCTATCTTCGCTATCACGCAGGAGAAGCCTGAACGCCATTCAGACAACATGGTCGCGTTCCTGACTGATACCAAGTGCAGTGTCTGCGTGAAATCCTTCGGATCGAACTGGACGACTGAATCTCGAACGCCACAGTCCTTTGAAGTGCGAACACAGCTAGATTAGGATGCAGCCGGATGCCAAACTGGCTCCAATTGTCAGGCTACTTTGGATGTGTAGTCGTACCTCTAAATCTTAAAGATTCCCAGATTGGAGCTCGAAATTGGGGGCAGCCGAAGTCCCGCCCTCAGGTAATTCTGAGTAGCCGGACTAGAAAGAGAAATCAGCCGGGTGAATGGCTAGTGAAGCAGGCGCGCGAGGAGAAAGTTCGCAACACTGCGAAAGGACCGGGCCATTGTGACTGGACTGTTTGTTCCCAATGCAGCCGCAACTGTGTGAACCTCTCTAACATGCGAAACCACGCATTCTAGTAGATGACTATTATACTCACCAGTCTAGCCGCTGAACGTGACCTGTTGGATTCGAGGCAAGTTTGTTCCATTTTTCACTATGTGCCTACCCGACGCTATCGTGCAAAAGGTAGAATACCACCAGGTTGTCCATTACCAACTTGACCGTGTGTAACTGGGTGAAACATCTGGCAATTTCATGAGCTACACTTGGGGAGGCATTTGATTGCGTTGAGAACTGAAGGAATTGACAAATGACGTCGGTTACTCCATGATAACCCATCAACTGGTTCCGGTGCCCATTCTCAAAGCATCATGTTTAGGCTAGCTGATTGCTCGTGGTAGGTCTCTGATCCGCCGATCTTATTCCTTCTGGCCTGCATCGACGCAGAGGGCCTGCGTGAAGCACACATTCGACAAGGCCCAAACTATCTGTAGCTCTTGTGCCATGGGCCGATGTCCCCTGGTTTGACTACCAAATCAGATGCCAGCTATGCTTCAGTATTCTTCAACCATCCCATGACTTCTTCGTCCATTTGCCTTCATTAGCACTCATGCATTCGTACGTCCATTTACGGGCTAGGTTTAAGGTTGTGAATTGACCACCTTGATGAAAGCAAGGGAGCTTTTGAGCTCTTGCCTGTCTGTAACGTTCTTATATCCCTGAAGTACAGGTGCATCACAGCTCTCTGAGGCATCGGAGTTTCCCAATCTGTACCACCAAGACCCCCTCTGTAAGAACCAAATAACGGGATAATGAAGTCACAGGAACCGACGAAAAGTGACCTATACGGGTGATGAATCTTTTTTCGGGGAGCGTTTTTTCAGGCGGGGTGGGGGACACTTAGTGCGATAGTTCTTGTTTGAAATCTTTTTCTCCCCTTACATGCATGTTCATGTACAACCTACCCATGGCCTGTCGGTGACGGATTTCTCTGTAGACGTCATCTAGCGTCTAAGATCGCCTGACTAGTGTGCCGTAAACAGTTTACAAACAGTAAACTCAATTGGCTCTTGGTTGGTGATTCGGGCATTCTTGAATGTCTACCTTATTTCATAATCATGACCATGGTTTTGTTCTTAGAGCTGCTTTATCCGCTCCAGCTTTTTGTTTTGTTAGCTTAACTGTGACGTCGATCTCCATCCAGAAGTTTAGTTGTGATGACCACAACTGTGTCGACCAACAGTGTCGTGGCTTGGTCCTGGACAGACGATGCACTCCTAGTTGCAACGTTTTTAAGACCACCAATCTAACTGAATTAAGTTTCATCCCCCTGCCATCCCTACTGCCTAACCTTCTTGACTCACCGTTCACAAATTAATTGCCATCGGTTGATGTGACCTCACTTTCGGTTTGTCAGTTTTGGGCGAGAACTAATCTCAGTTGAGGATACGTGCTTCTTTGAACTCAATTTTCCTGCATTAACCTTTTAATAACACCCTAATTGAATACAGTTGAGTGCAATGGGCGTCATCTATTTGGATTTGAAACAAAAGGGTTAAGGTTACTGCTTCTTAACTAGTATCGGAAACTCCAACTTGACGGCTGAAAATCTGAAGTAGAGTAGTGTGGTTTCAACGTGAGCATATGCAATACTTTCCTTTGTGTGTACTTTTTCAAGCAGACAACTCATTTTTCCGTGGGATCGCTCCTTATTGGTCTTTTCACTAAGTACACCGAATTCTTCCACTTTTCTTGGGAAGTTCACAGTTTGTTCTGCTGAGGCCACGTTATCTGACATCGCTTTCCCTCGCTTTTTACCAAACATTTTTCGAAAACATTTTGATTATTGTTTTGTTTATAGTAGGATTAGAGATGAAGTTATCCAATATGGATGGTGATGTACGCGAATCTTACGGAAATGAGGGTTCCTGAAGGGTTCAATATACATGACCGGTTGACATCGGGTTTTACCGATGGTGTCAATATAACCTTCTGCCATCCGATTGCCATGTCAAATGGGTTCAAACCGACCATTGTCAGTTTTTGGACAAATGCCAACCCAATAAATCAGCCGTGATAATCGGAGATAGGAGTATTAGTTTCCCTGATACTGAATCGATACGCGATGTGCCTTCTGTTACACAGACGGAACAGTCTCTTTTTACCATAGTACTTCACCCTTTTACTTAGCTTGTTCCTGTTGAAACACCAACATCGGGTTGGCTAATGAAACGTGTTACAAGCGTTTTGACGTCCAGCGCACTGCCCATAGCCTGTCAGATTGTACCAACAGTTTGTTTCGCAAATCACCGCTGTACCATTCACGCTTGTTCTGTTTTGAATGGGTGAATGCTTCAGTAGTTCTGGCTGATTGATTGATTGACTGAGCTAGCTCACTAGATTAGGAATGTGCATGGATACGTGCGGCTATTCGGATATTTTGTGAAAATAGCTAGAAGACTGAGGTACCAATTATCGTTTGTAATCTTGAGTGTACCATGCGACTGTCCCCAAGTTCATGACTACAAACGAAAGAGGAAAGACCGCCACGGCAGAGGACATTGTCTTCACACGAGAAATTCTTTTGATTCTCTTTTTTTCTTAATATCTTGACTGTCTTTTAACCTGTGATCATATCGTTTTAACGTTTGATTAATTACTCTCTAACTCAACCAGTGTGAACAACAAAATTTAATTATACCACAAAACATACTCCGGGTGTGCATTTTGCATACAAAATCACTATTGACCTGGAAATCACGTGCTTGGAACGCCAGCTAACGGGTATTATATAGGTATAATCGGGAATATTTGGTCCAATTCAGAGACCGCACACAGTTCACCACCGTAAAAGAGCAAATACCTCAAAGAAGACCCGATTAATAATGGCTGCTTTATTAGGTAGCCGCGACATCTCGGTTGAGCAAAGTGTGTTTACACTTAATATGCAACCCAATGAAAGCTGTCTGACTGTCAAAGTTGCTGACTCCGAGTAGCTAGGTGGTTGTTACTAGCAGACACAACGCCGGACGAGGTAGTTGACTCAAATATCTCCAATTTAGGGTAATGTGTACGTGGAAGACTGAAAAGAAAGCCTTAGGCGGATTAGAGTGTCCATCGAGGGCTTTCTGGTGTCACATAGATGACATGTTTGTTGTGATAAACCACGATAACCTTAACGAATTCGTTTAAAGTCCAAACACTTTAAGTTTAGCATGGGGCTATATTGATTGCATGACACACATGAGTGATGGGAAATGAAAAAAATCTATTTGTCGGAAGGCAACAGATAGTGATACAGTCTTAAACTGGTCATCAGGACACCCAAAGTCAGCATATACTAGTATAGTTTAAGCAGTGTTTAGTAGAGTAAGAGCACTGTGCACAGAGGCGGTCAACCGAAGAGCAGCACAACTTGAGGTAACAAACGACGGTGGGTACCCGGTGGTTTTACTTAAGCAACAACTAAGACGGGCATTTATCCCAACACCATGACCCTACAATGAGTGGATCGGATCAACAGTCGCCCATTTAAAACGGAGACATCTGGAGTCATTAGGACGGTTTTGAATACTGCTAACATAAGAGTAGCATTCCAAAAGGGCAAGAATTTACGTTCATTATTGGTGCGGTTAAAGCATCACCTTCCGGTTAATAGGACTAGGGACTGTGTACACAAAATAAACTAAAAAATAAAAATGTAACGATTGTAGGAAGATTTATATAGGTCAGACAGCCAGGGAGTTACAAACCAGAATGGGTGAACTTAAACTATGCATAAACGGACCACCTATAATGAGGCCCACTATGTCAAAGTAATTATGACATGTGGCAACCATACTCAACCGCCATCTACCAAAGAGTTGGTTTTTGCTTAGTGAATTCCACGCTGGTAAATGTACTTGGTGATAAGGCCATAACACGGTGGCGTAGTGACACGAAATCCCAACATCACCGTCAATCGGAGTGCCTACGTTGATTCCATTTGATTCTCCTTGCGCATGTCTAAAAAATCCTACGGAAAATGGCACGTAACCGGTCCAAGTAGTGAACACGCCGTCAGATCTTAGCTAAAATGCCAGGCTAACCCCTGTCTGTCGTTGGGTCTGATTTTATGCTGAGCAAGGCCGGCAAAAGACACCCCGCGTCAAACCGCTGGTGGCATCTAACTCCAGCATAGTGTGTCTGGTGTGCCTACTTTAACACCGTTCGGTCTGAGCTATTAGTCCCTGATCGCTTCAGTTTAGGGACGTTCAAACCTATTTTCACTATCATCTTAGTCTCCTTTTTTGTTTCCATCTTTTACTGGAGTGTTTTTGTCGTTACTTCATACCAGTGTTATTCTAATTTATAATACTGGCTAATTGTTGTCGATAGCGATTCTCTTTTCAATAGCATATAAGACATCGTTAATTTCACCCATAAAGTTGTGCATGGATAGTTTACAATATAGAATGATTACTTATGCTCCAATCGAGAGGCCAAAGAAATGGTGCTGCGAAAGAAACCACGCTGGTGGTCGCTCACAGTTTAACAGTAGGCACAAGCCCGGGTAGTAACAATGAGACTCTGTATATGAGTGTGAATCGACTCAGCTGGTTCAACAGAAACTTACTGACTCTCTTGGGAGGTAGTCAGTATTCTCTCTGCGTATGAGAGGTTTTGTGAACCTTTGGTTAGGATCGCATTCTGTGGACTTTGATGGAATGGCTCCCTTAGGGGTGGTGCCTTTCAAGGGATTGCTGTTTATTAAACAGATAGATATGGCGCGGTTGTGGCTGTGTTGATGCCTCCGGCGTGGATGTTTTAGTGACGTTGGCATGCTGTTCAGTTAGAAGATTTATTCAAACTAAGCAAGATGCTTCTCAGTTGCCGTCTAATGTGGATGACGGGCACGATAGTCTATCGGTTCTTTTGCTGGTTTCACTCACGTTCCTCGCTACACTCTATTCGACCCCGAGTTTTTTTTACATTCGCTATTCGCTTCTCTCTACAATTTCTGTGGGGATATTCAAGGTCATATCTCACTTGGTGTCCATATGCACCATTGAAGTCGTTGTAGTGGGTGTTTTGGGACATTATCTTATCGTTTTCGCTATCGATCTTCTGCCATGGCAAAATTTCGCCGTGCACGCGACCGCAGTTCACATGTACGAAGTGCCTGGATCAGTCCTAGTTTTTCCGTTCCAGGTGTGTGCGCATGCGTGTGCCTGTGTATAAATCCTATATGAAGTTGTTTTTGCCTGCTTCCCCACGACCCAGCTACCGGATGTATAGGAAAAGTCGCCAGACCGGTTTCCCAGCCTTGATAACCATTTTCTCCGCCCCGAACTACCTCGATGTGTACAATAATAAAGGTGAGTGGTATCCATTTCTTACTGTCGCACAACCTAATGTAACGATACAATGTTGTTTATTGTCCTACTATGTTTGCGAACAATCGGTAGCGCCATCGATCTTTTGCCGTTCGCTTCTTGCTAAACGCAGCTAGTTACTGTATTCATCGTGGCATAACTCAATTGGTATTGTGCGTTATGCGAGCAAGTTATTCGATTTATGAGGGATGGTGACATAGTTTGCTTGAGAGAATCAGCGAGTTTGTTTTGTCTCCTCAGACGAATTGGCTATGGCTAGACGCGTACACCAAATTGGTCTGTGAGTAATGAACTTTGATGTTCTTACATTATTTTCTCATACTTTGCCTTATCTCAACGAGTTCTTCCCCTAGCTAAGTCGATATTATTGAACTCTCTCTCCCTCGCTCTGCAACACCTGGGTACATGAAAGCAATCCTCTTGGTTGAATACAAGTAGCACCTTATCTTATTCAATTATAAGTTAATCAAACCGCTAATCGGCCATTCGTAGTGTGAATGGGTTCAGACTTTTGCAGAGATTCGTGAGGCGTGCACTAGATGAGGATAAAACAGCCCTACGGTGCTCCCAGGCTTGGGGAGAATTTGCAGCCAGAACGGACTCTATGACTTCAACCTACTACGAACGAGATGCGTCAGATAATTAGAGCGCCGGAAGGTCCGTGGTTCTGACCCGACCTGGCAGTATCCAAGCCCTCGTGCGTCCTTCGGGTTGCATGGCAGCTAGGCTCAACTGAACAATTTGTTTATTTTTTGTTTCTACTATGGCTTCTAGCTTTGAACGCGGTTGGTAACCGAGGAAATCAACTGGGTTGCCGAACTCCATGCTTCACTAGTATGTAACCGTATCCACTTAATAATGGAAAGTAATTTAATGGAACCAATCGACACCTGATCGGGTGATGTGGTGTCCATGGTTGAAGGATGATTGGCGATACATTCTGTCTAGGTTCCAGTTTATCGTTCTTTTGACCAGCTGCTCGCGGCCAAACGGCCAAATGTTCAATCTGGTAGCCGGACTGTTGCGGGCTCCATACTTCCTTGACTTTCGTGTGAGGCGCACTGCTGATGATTCCCAGTAAGGGTGAAAGGCTATACAATGCTCCTCGGCTTTTCAGCACATAGTGGTTTCACTGGTAGGACGAAGCCTCCACCAAACATTAACATATCTCACCGGTATTAGTCTACTGGAAAGCCAAGTGAAATATGGAAGATAGGCTGTGAGATGCTTCCGAGTTCAATCACCTAATGACGAAATCCGAATAGGAAATGATTTCTAAACCGCTATTTTAATGGGCGCCATGTTAGATTTTGCTACATTCCCAGCCAAGTGCTAGGAAGATCACGTGGGCCGCGGACAACAGGGATCATCGCTGGAGCACCTGAGTTTAAAATGAGTCAACTTTAACTGGTGGGGATGTTATGATCTAAATAACACACATTTTTTAGTGTTGATGTTGTGAACGTTTCGCCGAAAAACCACGATCGGCTTAGTAAACAGCCAATCCTGCGCCGTCCCCCGCTGATCCTAAAGTGATGCTGTTTGTCGAATTGGTTCAGAAAAACGAGAAGTGAAGTGAAAATAATTTACCAGGGCTATCCGTGGATTGAATTGGTAGTAAGACCGTTCCGTTTACGCTAGATATAATAACTATGCATCCGGTACCACAGCTTTTCTCCAAGGTTTGTATTTCACTTCAGAGAACAGTTTCCGTCAAATAGGTAATTCGAATCTCGGACTTGTTCGCTGTTTTGATGTGCTACAAGCCCCGACTCTACTCATTGATAAAAGACAGTATATAGGCAGCACGTAAGAAAAGCTTCTACCGACATCTGAGCTTTTGGAAGTAGGCCGCACTGCGTTATGAAACTTGCAATACGCGATCATACTTCCATTTGAAAACCCTTCGATTTCAAATAGATTATACTTGCCAATTCTGAGTTATCTCACTCACAAACATGCTTGGTCTGCGCTACTCCAACTGTTTGACTTACGTGACATGAACATATGTAAAGTGATTTGAGCTCGGAGTTCAGTTGCAAATTTTCGCCGGAAAGATATTGCTTTAGGAACTTCCACTCATTTTATTAGCCTGCCTTTACAATAAGGTTTTCAAATAAACCATGTTTGTGCGGCAGCCAAGCATCATTGTTAAACACTGATAGCATACTGTCGATGATGATGATGATAGCATGGTACATCACTCGTAAATTCATTTTTCTTTCCAGAATTGATTGTACGATTGTATGAATAACGTTCCCAGAACTGGTGGTGTTTGTACATTCAAGCCCGTAATTTTTGAGTTTGCTAACGTTATTATCCCTGAACCAGTGTACAGTTTGGTTTAGAGACTAACCGATATTGACTGGGATGATTGTGTAGGAATCCCTTGAGTACACAAGTAAAACTTGATCAATGCTGATGCTCTGATCTCACCGTCTCCGGATGGCCCTGTGATAAAAGCAGAGGTGTCCACCACTCACACTAGTGATAATAAGTTAATTACGTAGCTACGGTGGTATGAAATACATTTAGAGAAAAACGGATAGGATAAAATTACGGGAGATCCTGAGACTAACCTATGGTCATTTGGACTGCGCCACATGAAAAAAAATTGAATCTTAATCTTACGTGAATTCCTATTATTCCAAATTATGAATTCCTTTCGGACGCCACAGGTAACAAGAAGAGATATTATACCACGGAGAACGCGTTGAGACCCTGTTCGAAATGGTTCCATCTTAAAGAGTCACTGTGTTTTCTGTAGTCAGTGAATCAAGTCACTTTCAGTCACCAACATTTGTCGTTTAAATGATCATTGTACCATGTGGCATCCAATGCAAATGTGTCTCCAACAAGACGATTCAAGCAAGACGAACTTAATCACTGTTAAACACAAGCCGATCGGTGAGACTCCGTTCCTACAAAACAAAGGTGATGCTGTTTGTTGTCTCTGCCCACCTGGATAACCATTTAATTTGTAATTTCGCCTGTAGGTTGTCAGTCACTTCTAGATTACTATTCTGGGTCCAAGCCGTTTCCTGATCGGCGAAACTTCGATTAATCGACAGATAGGAAAGGGTTATTCCTCGCTGTTCCAGAAGCTCTGTTTTACTTCTAGCTACATGAGTAAATGAGGAACTGAAAAGCAACCTTACCTGATAGGAAAGCCTCCTGTTGGGTTGATTCACTCAGGAACAAGGACCAACGTGCGGTCTCCCGAGCGTCAAAGATAGGCTCTCCGGGAGATCCTGTTCTTTTCTTGGAGGTGATGTATCCTTGTAGAGAATTCCCGTGCTGATGTATTGCAGACCGGTCGCGAGTGGGATCATGACAGATTGTCAAACCTATTGCCTCGACTTTGGATTTTTCCCGTCGATTCTACTGCACCACCACCGTTTCTCCTTCGAAAGAAGCAGGGAGCCTTCTTTACTCTCGTTGTCGTATACAGTGCCTACAGCGTTCATTAAAAATGCTTTGTCCCGCCGAATATTATCCTCCAATTCGGTCATACCTTAATGGCTTGGACCTATTGTATCAATGCTTCGTAATAAACCCCGAAGTACTTTATACCGTTTCCGTTAGGCCTAGTTCACTTCATTCCGTTTGTTTATCGCGCGGTGCCTATACACGTGCTTCGTTACCTTGAGACCTGCTGTACAAAGGGATACGAAGTGCGGTGACCCACATTTGCGACAGTGCGAAACTGGCATCCCTTCCACCGTTTCTGCATAGGCAAAAACTGTACACTGTTTATCGACTGGGATGCCTGAACATCTTGTTGTTTGTTTTAAGTCGCAGTACTTTGCAATGTGAAACCCATTACCAATCTTACGTGGGTGGCCTTTCGGACGGCATAGTGGATGTTTGATTTTTTGTTTCATTTGCACTTTGCACTTTATAGTTTTATTTTGAAGAGTTTGCTGAATCCCAAGCCGAATGGGTTTTTAGATTTCGGTTCTTACCCTCGTTTTATGCATGCCATGTCCGCGCTCTCTGTCCACGCTCTGTCCACTGATGTGAACAAATAAGACTCGCTACCACCACAACGTCCAGTTAGCTCATGTTTCTTCTCCGATACATCCTCAATTCTGCCCTGACATCCCTCCTCACTGTTGAAGCTTGATCGGAAATTGTTCATAGTCTTCGTTGTGAGCATGGGACTTTTAGAGTTAAGCAGATGTGATTTTTACATTCCAACTGCTTATTGTTCCAGAAGCTCTCCATCTATCCGAAAATATCATATTGTCTAGCTGTGGTAGAAATTATAGTGCTAATCGAAAGTGGCATACAGCCTAGCTATCACCAGGTGGTCCATAAAGTAGTCGAAAATTCATCGATGGATTGAAACTGAGGGTGTTTGGATCCACGTCTAAGGGATAACAATTCATCTCACTGTTAGAAATTCCACTTATTCTTTCTAGAGTCTGGTGGAAATCCAGTACCAATAAACTATCCAATCCGCAAATGAAAAAGCATGTCTCACCACTCCGTAAACTAGTCAGAACTTTGTGGGCCGTAAGAGTATTGGATCGGTGGACATATCTCGTCTTGCCCAAAAATGGTTCTCTTTGATGGTTCAGACATCTCGTCCTTGGTTTTTTGTGATGATGGTATCAAACCCTTCTTGAAATAATTCAAACATTTCGTCAATAACACTTCAGGAGTTAACAAATAATATTCATTACTTGTGCAGTCCCTTTTCTGTTGATGACAGTAGCCGCCTCATATCTGTGTAACCTGTGAACAATCGACAGAATTCATGATTGAATTGTCGCCTCCATGTTTTTTGAACTCATCTGGAACATGAACCAGAGAACCAGTATTGTCAAAGAAACTGACAAGATTATTCTTGCATTCTCGCAAAGCTTAACTCTTTGTGTGCATTTTCGATATCTTACTTCAATCATAAACTTTTACTATTAGCTTGTCTGTTCATTGCGCTACAAATTCGGAAATTTAATCAAACCCGACCGTCAATCACACAAACGACGAAGTTCTCTGGGCTCACTGTTTTCGCCTACCTCTGGACAATCGGTAGACGAAGAAAATATCGCCGTCGCTTTCAGGAAAGTGAAACTTAGTGCTACAGTTATTTTATCCTACTTTGTGATATACATGTAAAATACCGTTGTTTTAGATACTCCTGCCAAAGCCCGATAGGTCCGAGATCAACGATGCGTGCGTTTCACACTCAGTCTAGTCCCTCATTCACTAATTCCAACAGGATGTGTTCGCACGAAACGACGATAGTAGGAAAGCTGTCATGTATGTGGACAAGCTCGTCTTCTTTGGAACGTTCATCAGAGACTCTGTAGGAGACACCAATTTTCATGCTAAGCCAGGCGGACCGACCTGTGTACAGTGTCGTTCCGTTTTGAACTTTCACAGCGTTCCTTAAATATCGTATAGAGAACTACAGACTGTCTCTTAAGCGGGCCAAGTAGTTTTCTGATTTGGTTTCTAGTAAGCCACCAGTAAATGAGGTATCCATTTGACCTTTGCATTCATCATCACACACGTCAGACTGGGGTTAAGACGTATTGAGTCCTCTACAGGAAGGCTTACAACCCTCAACTCATAGGTCTGTTGTATTTGGGAATGGGTGCATGCTCATACACAATAAATTCCAGCGTACTAGCTGCCTTCCAATTTTATGTGGTCATACTGTGTAAACTAATTGTAAACAAACTTCTGCACAGACCACAGTACACCCCCACAAATCCGTGAGATGTACATGAGAGTTTTCGTAGTTCAACGATCGGATGCTCTTATACCACGTAGCATGTACTGTTCTCTTTCATTTAAACCCACTCCTGTGGAGTTTACCAAGTACAAATTTACCTGCATAATTCTCGATCGTTTCAGCCGCTATTTTGAAATATGAAAACAACGTGATGAATATTCGACAATTTAATTGCTCCCCTCATCCATACTGGTTACCCAATTTTATGGATGTGTTTACCTGGTCTTTACCGTTCGTCGGTGAAAAAGGTGAGTGTTTGTCGGGCTCAGTTTTTCCAATATCATTTCCTCCAACCGGAAATCCGTATCATTAAAGTATGCCTTAATAACGGTTAGAAAATTTCCTGCTTGGTGTCAAGGTTTTCCACTACATGGGTTGATGCTATCGGTCTTTTTGTGTGGGCTACTGGAGTGGTGAACAGAGTGTATGATGCATATCCTATTCCACCTAAGGTATATTAATTGCTACTACAAAGCATATGACAAGTAGCCTTCAGTTAGGTTTGCTGGATGTTTGTGCCAGGTTGTTGCACGGATCCACTCGTCTCTGAAATTGATACATACATTGACACCGCAGAGTAAATTGCGTGCTTCTGTCGAGGAGACCGTGGTGTCGCAACCTTCGTCCAAAGTGCTTACATTCGACTGTGCCGCGCCGGTTGTTGCCGAATTTGTTGGGTTGCAGATTCGTGATCGCTTTTGGGAAATATGGACAGCAATAAAGAGGTTTTGTGATGAATTGGTGAATTGTGCAAAGCAGAAGACTCGATGTGTGGATTCTCCATACACCCATGATTACTGGGCTAAATGGCAAATTAACAGATATCAGGATTTGAGGGAATGATTGGTGATGAAAAACAACTTTAGAACGGATATCGTAGCAAAAGCAGCACTCAAACTGGTGGTGGTTTCACTCAGGACTTCTGTTTATCCAAAATCAATCGATATCGTTTACTGACGGAGCAGTCCTTATGGTTTTTGTGTTCGACAACACAAGTGGCTACTTTTTGCCAACGTCTATTTGGTAGGTGTTTTCAAATGAACATAACTTGCAGTTAGGTTACTGGACGAGTAGTGGACAGCGACCTGATTGAAAGGCTTATTTGATAAGAATACATAACTTAGATGAATAGGTCTGCTAGTGTGATGGATTCGTATCAGATTACAAGCTAACAAGTTATGCACGGTGTTCCATTCCCCACCATGTCTCAAAGACTTGTACGGCCAATAAACTCATCTCCCAGCGGTCGATTGGTTTATTTGCATTTTGGCAAATATTGCACTGACTTTGTCCCCTGTGATGCCCGTATTAAGTAATCGTCAGGTGGACATTCCAGGTGTTTTCTATCCGCCTGCCCATCACATTTATGTTAGGCCACTGGTGAATCCACACTCGGCTTTGAAGCGTTTTATCATGCGCGGCGTCTAACGCTTTTAAAATGGGCGTATACGGAAGTGGAGTTACATTCGTAGTGATCACGCGTATGAAAGCAGCAGAATTTGCTCAAATAGTAGAACTGTCACTTGAAAAAAAGGGATGGATATCTAAAGCCTTTGAAAACAAGTGACAAGAATGCGTGCCTGTGGTTAAAACAAATTCACTCCTGTGCAGTCGTGCGTGAACATGTCTGGACTATCGTCCTCAAGGATGAAATACCTTTTAGCTCAGTTTGGTTTGGTACGTGTAAGCTATGGGCAACTTCAAAACATGTTTTGTTTAGTAGCGCAACCTAGGTGACTGCGTCTACGAGAAAATAACGTATTTTCGGATGATATACAAACAGCAATCGCACATCCTGGCGATTAACTTCAATCGATTTCTGCTAGCGAATACCAGAATATCTGCATGAGCAATGCGATTCCCCACTAATAGTCGAGTGCTTCCTTAGTGTGTCAATAGGAATTGCAGAGAAAAAAATTATTACAGCGAACCTTTACTTGAAACACGCAGATATAAATGTTGATTCTGTACAACTGCAGTGAACGGATATGCGACATGTTGTAGTTTTTGCCAGGAAACTTTTCTAGGATCATCAGAGGGAAAAATAGTTATTGTGTATGCGTTTTTGGCATCTACGGTGTGCTCTTCAGTGGTATGGAAACTTGTCTGTCACAGAAGGTTATTCGAAGGTGCTATCGTAGGTACCGTAATTACCAACTGTTAGAAGCACATCGGATCAAAGCATAGTTAATGTCACATTAAAACAATGGCACTGGAAAGAGGAATCAGAGTAAAAGCCTGGGGGATTAACGGAACGGGTGACAGCCTCTTGAAGCTGCAGCTTTTACCCCCCGTATAACATGTTACGAACGGAGCCCCAAGGGAGCAGCCGAAAGCATTTTAGGTGGTGTCATCTTCAAAGGGTAGGACATTTATGTGTAACTTGAAAAAGGATTTTCATTTTACGGAAGAAATTAACTGTATTAGGTCATTTTATTCAAATCCGTTTTCGGGTAGGTTACTTGGCGACACGTTGTCCTCCTGTTTGGTTTCACCACCAAATATAGCTCATTTATACGTGTGTCCAAAAAACCGTTTGCTGACATTAGTGAACTCATCAAAAGTCACTATCTCTCAGAAATAAGTAGGCCATAGCTGTTTTGTCTGGTTAACTCCCACGTTGTCATAAATGGGATTGCAAATAAAAGGTGGGCAAATTTGGGAACTAGTAAATTTCGGTAAAAATTATTCACATAATGCCTACAAAATCAGAGGTCAGTTTCAAACCATCGGTAATACTTATTTCGACCAGCAGCCAGAGTGTGTGCCTCATTTTTAAGTGCTCGGCTGTTGGGCCCGCCCTCTGAATTGCTCCCTTATCGTTGATGGCTAATACCAAGCGCGATGTAATTGGCTGTTCGAGCTTTTTGTGGACTTCGATAGTTTCCCTCAAGCTCGACAGTGGCTCGGGAGTCACCGCCTCGATACCACTTAGCTAAAAGTGTCTTCTGAGGTTAGTTACGTCCAAAGGAGAGCTGACGTTTAGCGGGCATGGCCGTTTCAACGTGGTCTAGACGCTTCAGACATAGTCCTAGATGAGGCTTTGGAACCTTGAACAATTCCTGTTTTCAATAAGCGCCTACATTTTGCTTAATGTGTGGAACACCGACGCGAAGAAGTGAATCCGAATGTACATGTCTACCTGGGTGATTCTCAAAAACTGGCATTCAACATAAGGTTGATGCTATCCGCTTGTTTGTTCCCGCGTTTCCAGGTGTGAGCAAAACACTCGGGCCACTGGTCGTTTCTTTATATTAGTGCAGTTTTGTTTTTGACCTTTTCCAATTTTGGGCCGTTCTATTGATGGTGCTAATATCGTCACCGCATTGCCTGAGCATTTTCCGCTTCATGAAAAAGCGTCGCTTTACTTGACAGCGTTCAGCGAATTTTTATGATAAATAACTTATTTTACTTTTTGATTTTAAATTTCCGTGCTAAACAGCGCGCACATTGGTTGAAACTGTTTCGATCTCGTATTTTAGTCACAGAGATGCTGGTCAATGTGCTCAATATCTGTTCGGACGATGAACTGCTGTCGGATACTCCTGAGGATGAATGTGAGCTATTCATATATTGCATACCCAACCGCACTGTTTGCCATTTGTTAGATTTGCTTCATTCAGTTTCTTCGGGAATTCTGGCTGTTTTGGCCTCTGGCGCTAGGATTTATAGTTCTTCCTCCCATGAGAACCTGTACTTTTTAGGAACAGAATTCATTTGCGTTCGGAACCCAACCATTTTTTTCATGTTTCTTCCCATGAGTTCATTGTTTTGGTAATGACTATAATATTGTCAGGGTAATTTTTTTATGACCATCATGATACTCCCAAGCCGTGGAAACCGTTGATGTCCCGGAAGTGACATCTCCTTTTTCTCTTATTCAAAGGATAATTCAAAAAGCCTAATCTTTCACGGTTTTTTCACTATATTTTATCTATACTGCGTTCTAACTCGTCGCACGAACGGCTACCAAACACGGTCAGACTGAAGCTGAATAGTGTTGTAGAACAGCTGGCTACAACCCGGCATCTTGAGAGCTGTTCGAATACTTTCAACTTTGCCATGGATAATTTGGCAATGTTCATGAGCAGTCGCGAATTGTCCCAGCTTTTCAACACAAGATCTCAGAAACGACACTAGTGAATGCAGCTGCAGCGTAATTCTTCATGCTGATACCCTTCCGCCCGAAATCACACTAAAGATGAATGAATTTATGGCTCTTCTAACAATTATGGGGGGCGGCCGGTTCAGGATGCAATCGTGGCAGTGTATGACAAGGGCAAGTCTACGTGCGACGCGGCTCTTCATGTGGGATTCTCGTTGTCCAGCTCTATTATTGTGAACTTCTCACCGAATAAGTTTGCCTTGCCCAAACTCACTGTCAGTGGGATTGCACATTCCTTTAAATACCGCTACACAAACGTATTCCCAAAGTCACCTCTTTTGACGTATTCGCCCAGGTCTCCGATCCTGAGACTTTCTCTGAGTCTGTACAGTTGAGCTAGACATCGTTGGCCGAACAGCATACATTGATATTAAAATACGCCGTGAAGGTGACTTGAGGGAATGACTTCATACCCTTATCAGCTGTTACCTCCTAATGCCTAAAGAATTACGTATCTTTGACGTATCCGGCTCGTATCACTGAAATAAATGGTCACAACACGATAATTAACTAAATTCAGTCATCAACCCCGGCATAAACAGATGATGGAAGCGGCTAAGATGATCACATCTATTGTTGATAGTAGCCGTTATACCACCTCGTTGCCTGGCCTCTTGAAACAGTTTGCTCCATTTCGGTGACTCCATTCCGGTGAGTCCCCACCAAAGGGAAGCACTGGACTCAAGTTTCACTCTTATTAGAGCTCATCAGCAGTGCCAGTAACCACTACTTCACCAACGCACGTTGGTCGCATCTGAATCATCACGTCTGAACAGGCGAACGTGTTCACACTTGAGCGATGTGATTGGTATGCCCGACTCATTGAATGACGACCCAGTAACTGTCCTGGTTGTGACGATCGATTGACACTCCAGTCAGGACTTCCCAGTTACGTAGCCTGGCACACGTTTGGTGCACGCTCGCCTCGCATGTCAGATGTCCGGGGTTCAAATCCCGGCACGGCCATTGGATATGCACTGCTGATGAGCTCTAATAAGAGCGAAACTCGATTCCAGTGCGTCCCTTTGGTGTGGACTCACCGGAATAATTACGCCAGAAAAGGGACACGGCCGTTCAAACGAGAGTGATGTGGCTATGAACAAACGTACCTATTCCGCAAAACAGTGTATATCAGTGTGAAGCTGGATGTATGCAGTAATGTATAGTTTTGTCTGATAAATTCGTCATTTTTTTTCATTTTTTTCCGAAATGTAGGCCTAACCACGCTTTGAGGTAGTCACAAAGAAACTGTTATACATACTAACTAGCGTCCAAGCAGTAACGGGTCAGGGGGCGATGCGTTCTGCTTCCCCTTGCTTCATCAGTCGCGTCCAGAACCGTCAGATTGACATCGCTTGTCCCGTTTCACACAAAATATCAGTATATTCCGGATTTACGTGACCTTTTTTCTGAGCGGTCGTCGCTAGCACCGCGGTCAGCATTAGATCGTGTGATATAATAAACCAGTGCTGCTGTTATGAAGATACACAGTTAATCATTCTAGTGAAAAACAACCCATGACCCAACAAATGCGTGTTCAGCAACTTCCTAAGACGGAAAAGATATCGTAGGTATGTGAAGTGAAACTGAATTCCATGTAGTCAGTCATTTCATTCCAAACCACGAATTCACTTTACCGGTCCAAAGTGAACATGTATCGGACGAACTTCTATGGCCTAGTGCAGCTTCAGTGCATCTCAGGGCGACTGAGGTAAAACAGCTTCCCTCTTAGAGAGTAGGTGACCAGTACAGTTTTGTGAAAATGAAGGCAATTCAAGGTGTCTCTGCTGTTCCTTGGGGATACTTTAGAGACTAACCCGGCGTTTACTTATGAAAACAGGTCAGGTGCGGACATTCATCCAGCGTGTAATCAACCAAAGTTTTCGTCGCAGTAGGCTAGACGGCAATAGGGTATTGGGCGCAATTACACAGCATCGGCGGTAACTGTAGTACTGAAGACGGCATGAAGCACTTCGTTCCAAGACGGCTTGAAACGCTTCGTCTCAAGACCCCACATTCTGACGTAACGAAGTCGCCAAATACCCCTGACCCCATTCCTCAGTTAAGTAACCTTTCAGCGTGAGCTTTTTTACCTTTTGTTCCATCCTGAGTGTGATCTGCATTGCAGAAGGACGACGCTGGTACATGCATCATTGGTGTGAATGGAATTTATATGTCAACCTGACGCGCAGAATGAAAACAGATTCAACAACCGCACACCTGCAGAGGATCTGATTGAGTTATACCTTAGCTGCTTTTCATGCAAGCTTCCACAGTGGACAGTGTGAAGATATACTAGATATTGGACGAATTTGATTAACCTTATAATGCAGATTTGACCGGAAGTGGATTTCTTCTGAAATATTTGATGACCGACAACGGCACGCTCTTGTTACGCAGATTAATAATGCGAGTGAAAGTGCGTGTTGTTGCTCGAGTGGCAACCAAACATTTTTGTTTTTTTTCCCGAAGTCAACTGAATTAATTCATTCGGTGTGAAAATGCAGGTATTGGCGGCACACGTAATTGAAGATTATACAACGGTGATTGTAACGAAACGCTGGTCGATTACTTGACTACAATGGATTGGTGGGAAAACCCTTTTCTGCTGCACTAGTTTACCTCTAGTTGTTCAATAAATGCGAACAGCAATTAATCGCCCTGAGCGATGTGGGCTGACGAAGAGTAATTTGGAGCAGTTCGACAATACATTCTTCCTTATGGTTACCCACTTTCGTAACTAATAGCTCTTTCATATTACCAGAACCTTCTGAGGTTCAATTGGGACACCAATCTTTAGGACCCAGGAGCGCCTCTCTTTTGAACCTTGCGTATGATTTAGTATCGAGTTTTGGTGTAATATCTATTATCGGTTAATTTTTTCCTTTTTTACATTGGACCATCCACCAGCAACTTTCGAGTGTACCTGTTACTGACTTTCCAAATTTTCCCTGCTGTTTTGGTGTAAGACTTCAGTAGCCGATGGTCCCATGTGCAATATACGTTATGTCCTATAGATGACTGTGATTGCATCATCCACTAGATTCCACATTATTGCACGGGTGGTTAGATGTTCTAAATACTAGCCTGTGGTCGCGGTTTGGAACCCGCCTGGAAGTTTGTGAGATGTGCACTGCTGGTGAATCACAACAAAGATGAAACAGCTGTACTGTGCTTGTAAGATTTTCAGTATTTGCTGGCTTCACTGACAGTCTGAATCCTTCATCAATTGGTACATGTATTTTTCGACCACAAAGGTGAACTAACGCTTGTTTGTATGAGCTTCCCATATGCGGAGACGATCCCGGTTTCTTCGGGAAAAAGCTGTCATTAACGTTAAACTATTCCCCGGTATGCCGACTTCACACATGCGGGAAACATGTTTCAACGAGTTTCTGATAGACTCATTCTCTCGCTTATCACAGCCCCAGGAGCAACACGAGGTAATTTTGTTTCTGTTGCGATTCCCTTTCGTTCGCACCATCATGGATCAGTGACTCTTTTTCAACACACGGTTCTTTTCTGTTCCTTGTCATGTTACATCAATGGTGTTTTTGAGCTAGCCTTTCCCGCCCTTTTTCAGTCCTTCTTTCATTCAAAAACCTACACAGAGCGGTTGCTCTCATGCATTTTCCCTCCTGTTTTTCCTCAAACAGCTCAAATTACTGCTCGCAAAGACGTGATACGAAATAAAATACGAGCAATTGGAAAGATGGCTCGTGTATTCACTGTATTGCGGTAGGTGGTATTGATTTTGGACTGCGTCTATGTTCGCTTCTTTACCTCCTGACCTGACCCCATGCCCACTCATGGTTTTGAGCGGTTTTTGGTGAAACCTGATAGCGCTACAGAGTGAAACAGCCATACAGGTGTAGGCTACTTCGATACTTCGAATATCGAATGAAATGAATGCTTTTGCCCAGTACAGTTGGTTGAGGGACATACTAAAGGAAATGGAAATTTAGGTTTTACGCAAACATCATTGCAGTTTATAAATCTGTGTCCACTGATATATTAGATCGGCACACAGTTTCCAGAAAAGTCACTTTTAGTTTTCATTGTGTGGTTCAACTTCCTGAGTGGAGTATACATGTCCCTTTGCGTATCCGATTACATAGGCTGTAATATATGCTTGTTGACAGATTCCACTCGCCTATACGCTATCCGGATTATTTGTCCATATTACCTGAGTGGGGATTTGCATGTAGGGACCGCAGAATGACGGCAATAGCCTAGTGTCACTCCACCCAAGCTTCACATTCCACCCGAGGGCCTTTCAAAGTAAATACAGTGATCGCATGACACGGAGGCTCAAGTGTTATCACTGATACCGACCAAGATGCCGAGTTGTACTCCCCTCTGCTATCCATATATTCACTCCGTGTTTCTTTTCTCGTCTGAAACCAATGCAACTCAAACTTTGGAAGGCGGCGTGATGCTCACTTTTAGCTCAACTGGAACAACCTGTAGTGGAAAATTAAATCCGGAAATTTGCTGTGCAATGGAGCTTTCAAATAGGGTACACCTTGCACAAAGGAACACTAATACCGTTTCATTGCTTCATTGGCCATAGGGTTGTAGCACCCAACCCTTCTGCCCTTGCTGATGGGGAGACTACTCTACTGAATCAAAAAATTACGTAGGCTCTATGTATATGGTTTGTTATCACGCTGGTATTAGTGTTTTTTTGAAGAGCGATAAACGAAGTTCCTTCCGAACTTAAGGCACCTCATCGGATAGGACGCGAGCTACATGCTGAAGAGTTGGATTCAGTTCTATCATTTCTTTTGATTGCACTGATCTGGGTGTCGGCTGCCTAGCCGTACGATGACCACGGTGCCTTCTGGTTGTGTGGAAGGTGTTTATATAAAATACAGGGGTCAACAGTCCGGCGTTCATGTTCTACATTGGATAACTACCGTCAGGTAACTATCGTCGCCACAAAATAGTTAATTCAAGAAACATAACCAGTGTTACTCAGCATCACCATAGTAGCGCAGTAAAAGTCGAGCCAGACACTTACCACGTTCACGGTCTAGTTATTTTTCTGTTCTTTCTGTCTGTCGTCACAAATCATAACCGGATTTTTGTGCATAGAAATGGCGTTTTAAGCGTTCTACTGTTGGCATAGTTGATTTTTTTTTATGTGTGGTCGTGGCGGAGTGTAACAAAGGTACACACACACGTACACTTATTCCGATTGAATAATTAAGTCCCGGGCACATTGATTTATGTGTTCTTTCACTCTCCCGCTGATACGCTCGCTCGCGTGGGGTGTATGTTTCATGCATGAATAAACTCAGCTCAGGTACAGTTCCGAGTTGTTTGAGGTACGCGTGGACCTCATATAGTTCGTTCGTGTGTGCGTCCGCTGGACGACTGTCATCTGTTTGCTGAAGACTTGAAAACACAAGAAGGCACCTTATTCGTAGTCTGGATTTGTAAATTTTCTCTGAATGGATTGTTGTACGTAATTCGACCCATAGAATCATGTCCGGTATGCCGAAAAACAGCAACAATGGTGCTACCCAAATGAGCACCTTCCTGGGCTGCTGTTGCTGTGAGCATTCGGCAGGACGGTTGCTTTGTGTATGCTTCGCTTTGACAGATTGTTTATACACCCAAGATCCATTTTGTTTGACGATGTTCTGTGTGCTATCAACTAATCCCGCTATCCCCACCATCTCCATGACTTATTCCCGGTGGACATTTTAACTTAGGTTTTTCCCATTCGAATTATTTGTCGTTGCAGAGAGGAAAGCGAGACCATTTTGGAGCTCAAGGGGCTAACTCCCACGGGTATGCTTCCCCTGGGGGCACTCGCCGGTGGTCGAGAAACAATCAAAACCGGTGAGTCGATGTTTTCCTGCCTGTGCTCTGCACGAATTTGCTTTCGTCTCATTTCAGCTTGCATTCTCATCCGTCAGTCCAGTCGAACCGAACTAATTTGTTTCACTTTTTACGATGGCTGACAGTTCGAAGTCGGTCATACTATCGCCCCTGGTGGCTTAGCCGAATGCTAGTATTTTCGAATGTTTGAACCAATGAAATTCATAGTCAATCTGCAGAGCGTCTGTGTGAAAGGTTTCTTATCTGTTTGGGAGGATGATGAAATGTAATAAATCTTGTTCTGGAGGTAATTCATTCATCTTATGGTTACTCCGCAAGATCGCAGTTTAGAGTGTAGTCCGTTCCGGTTTTCCTACTTGACTACTCTCTCTCTCTCTCCTCTCTCTCTCTAACGTCTGTTCACTCAACAACTCTGGCAGACACGTTGGTCGCAAGAGTGAGGCCATGCATCACTCAAAAATCAGCCGAAAAAATCCCAATCAGATGAAGAAGCTTGATAATAAACCATAAGCCCATGATTGTCTACTTACTTGCTTTTTACACGTAGTCTTTAGCCCATTGTATGCAACATACGAATCTATCCACTGCCCAGCATCTTTGCTATTTCTCTCTAGGAGTCCTACAATTTTCTTTCCATTGATGACTCAGGGAGGTTCTTGTTCGTGGAAGTATATCATAAAGCAAATTAAGCTATTATATGGGAGTGTTGATGCTCCAGGCTTAGATGGGAATGCGGAAGAGATTTTCGGATAAGGTGAGGAGTACACTCTTCTGAAACGTGATAGAGAAATAATACCAGGGCAGGATGAGATTTATCCAAAGAGACTACGACTGCGACCGATTATCGTTCCTTTTAGAAGAGCATGATCACAAGCAAAATATAAATGCTAGTGGTAGATGTGCAAGGCTGTACAGGGGAACATCAGATGAAATAAGGAGGACATTATATCACAAGGCGTATCTCAGACAGTCACTGCAAAATCATCATTTTAGCACCAATTTGAGATTTCCATTGCAGTCCAACCGCAAAGACTTCCCTTTGCCTAATTTCGCAGTAGCTTCGGCATCAATAACACCTCAGATATTACTGAAGCTATTCTCAGTAAGACACTCATAGTGGGCATGTAATGGGTTTATAAGAATGAGTTTACGAATGGGGATTGCCCTTTCACTTTACTATTTTCTCATACTGTTACATGAGCACCATGAGAGGCAATAAACTAAAGTAGATAGGAATAAACAAAGACCGTGATAGACTTGTGTGTACAAGATGGAGAAACCCTGTCGCAAACGTAAGCCGTTCTCTAGTAGATGTTCACAGGTTGAGGGTGACGGGGTTGTAGTCAACTGCCAAATACGGTGCGTGAAGCAATTCATTTCGGATTGTCTTTTGGCCCAAATCGTTGGTGCCTATCGTTCAGCTTCTCCCCTCGCTCCAGATATTCATCCAAGTAGATTATAGCTGTTTGATGCTGATCATCAATCCGTAGAAGTGAAGCTACCGTTAGTGGTGTTTGCAATGATGAATGTCTAACCAGGAACGCAGCTACTTGTTATTAACTGCAATCTACAATGTCTGCCATGAGTTCCCGACTGTCCTAAACGTTACTTACTCACAAGCTGAGTCTACCCATGACTTCTTGGAATTGATTGAGAAAGGATTTGAGTGCCGGTGGTTTATCAGTAGCCTAGATGACGCGGGCAGCATGCAGTTTTGTCGCTTTATTGAAGGTAAGTGAAGTTATCAGCAACCCACGTGTTACTTATTTGGAGTCAGTGATGCGGCCGACAGAGTTTCGTGCAGACTGAAATCCGAAATCACAAGTGTCATCTTCCAGTTGCGTTGTTGTCCATATTCACAGTAACCCGACCTGTGCGGTAGGATTACTCAACCTCATGGGAATTTCAGAAACTCGTTCATCATTCTACCCTAATGGCGTAATACGATGTTGAATCGAATTTGCCTCTTCAATCTGCACAATCCAATTACTTCAGAATAACGCATATGTGATGCTGTATGTGTGTATATCTGCTTTACAACACGTTGGATTACCGAAGGCTGCGATGCCGCAAGTTCTCCATATGTGAGCTAAAACACTTGTAAAATCAATGGTCAATTAGAACTTCAGAGCTTCCTGCCTCAAGCTTGTCAGCGTGTCAAGTATGGCCAACAAACAGGGAGTAAGTTGACAATCGGTTGTACGCAAAACTGCGTCTAATCCACTGAATCGAACTCCACATGTTTCCCATAGAACATTGATTTCTAAGGACGATGGGCCAGCCCAACTTAGTTTGTCACACTTGGAACAACATGCTTCTGTGTGATCAGTGTCGTTCCCAACCGCTGAATTGAGACCGCACTTGAAGTCTGAATGTAAACTTCTTGAGTATGATCCCTTAACAGTTTGTCAGTCTCACCTAACACATATGTCGCAACAGAAAATTCCATCGCAGAATTAACCTTTTAATAAATAATACCCGTTTTGCTGTGTGCAAATTATCGGTCCATATATCACACGATGCAATCAAAAAGCTGGTGGTTTATAGACAAAAGTAAATACTATGCCAGCCTAAGAACCTGGCTGGGTTCACAGGCGATACATCACGGTTTCCATTCATGCGCTCTCGCTTGGTTCCCGGTTTGGCGTTCGTGACAGATAAGCTCAGTATTGTTTGCCACCATTTCTTCTCAACTCTTGGGTGATAGGGTTATTCAGATTTCACTCACTTATGACAGCCCTTTTTCGCTCCCAAAAATTATACGGCGCACGTTTAGGCTTCAAAAATTGGTGCAAATTATATCCATTGACTGTTATTCGTAACTTCCAGTAATAGGACGGATAGCATCGTGTGTTTTTCGAACCAATTAGTCCATTGGAAGGCTGGTCGTGATACCTTTTCTTACACCGACAATCGACTAGTGCTGTCGAATAGCAACCCGAACGTTATGCGTTTTTTCTGTGTCAGTGACTTTTTCGCACTTTGGCACAGCCCAGTGCCTGGAAGCTACTCAGGCATATACGGACCTACCATGTCTCTCAGTTGTGTCAACAGTAGACTTACTTTTGCCGTAGGCTGGCATGCTTGCTGATTTTCGTTTGTTGTCATGTATACATTAGATTGATTGTGTATAGTAGGAGACAGACCCGGATACCTCGTTTTTCGGTACATGTTGGACACCGAAAATATCTCGAGATGCATGATTAGAAGTGATAGGGAAGACGCAACTTAGTGGTTTCCAGGCCAAAACTTATATCATTTTAACTCTGTGGTTCGCGGAGAGGAGATGCGTAAAATCAGTTGACTTAATAGTCTGCGTCGAAATGTGGCTTTCAGTCCCAGGAGATATCATACTACTAGTTGCCTCAATCAGGCCTTACTTCGGTCCTGTCACCATGGTATTCAATCTCGACACACCGACTGGACAGGACTACAGTGGTTTGTCACCCGCCACTATTAGGTCAAAGGTCTTGAATTAGGAACTCAACGAAGTAGTTGAAATGAGTGGTAGTCATTGTGATTTCAGAGCCCTGCTAAAATCCTAGGTTTCAGAAGGGCCTGTTCCTTCATCTCGGCTGAGCGTGGCCAACTGATTGTTGACCTGCACATTAAGTCGGAGAGGTTCAACAAACGTGTTGCTGACTGACGATTCGTGAAAAATTATTTCAACTTGTAAATAAAAACGTGGTCAATGATGTATATGTTCCCAAAGAGATGGACACTTACTGTGAAAAAATTACACGGTTGAGAGCCTTTCACGAAATTTGAAAGGAGTAGTGCGCCCCCTGCAGTTTTGCTGCAAACAAATGTGTATTTAAAACCCTTTGGTTTCGTTGCATGGACAGAAAAAAATCGTAACTTGTAGTTTTTATAATTTCTTCTTCCCGGGCTCCGTTGTTGTGGCAGTAACTTGGCTTATACCTCAAACTCGAACTTCTTTCTGATCAACTCTCAGTTCATGCATGCGTTAACCCCCATTGGTTCATCTCCCCTACAGTGAGCGACAATTGGACTCCGCACAAAATTCAGTGTTTCGCTGAGGCCAAAGCGATCGACAAAGTTAACGAGCGGATGCCACCACATCGTGATTCCAACTCCAATCCGTGTTGGTCTTACACAGTGACACTTCCTAACGAAACAGAGCTCTCGAAAACTTCTGACTCCCATCTGAGTAGTACTGAGTATACCACGGAAGACGATAATGGAGCCCTGTCGTTGACTCAGCGAACCATGCCCAGGCCCCCATCCATTTGTGAGGAACGCTCTTCAGATGATGAGGCGGATGCAATGCCTTCTTTGGTTACGACCTTCGGGGACCGTGGGAGACCGGCAAGTTCAGACTCGATGGACCTTCCAGGTGGTGACAGTGTATCGGCGGGACTCGTTAGTGTGCGTGCGTCGGGCAGTAAAACTCCAAACTCAACCATTCCGTCTCCAGTCGCCGGCTCAAGCTCTTCGTCCTCCACCGCTGCAACTAAATGAAGAATGTGAATGGCTTATGATCGACTTTCTTCCTTGCCTTGTGCAATAGCCGCCAGAGACACAGAAACCGTTATACTTCCTTGATTGCTTCAACAGCTTTTGTATTTTTTTTCTTGCTCAAAACCGTGTGTTCTCTGTCGAACACAGATTTATTTCATGTGCTACGTGCGACCGCCCTGAACTTGCAAGTCCCTAATCCTAGCCCCATAGTGGTGACCAGTCCATTCTCGATTTAGGTTCCCTGTAACACTAGATTGTCAGTCATGAGGAATTTTTGACCTTTATGTCTATTATTCCTTAGTGTTGTCACACAGTAAGATGCCTCACCAACAACTTATTCCTTAGGGACACCGCTACGCTGTCCAATCAACACCACTGGGCTGTTGGTTTTCGGTTCACTGTCCATTTCCTCACTTTTATTTCAACTGGATGTCGAGTGCGGTTTTCCCCCCGCTGCATTACTGCACTCTTTTCGTGTCCATGTTTCTCCATCTGCTTGTGAACGTGGTTGTTTCTCTGACTCACCATCTGTTCCCTACCATCCACTCAAGGGCCGTCTCATCTAACACATGCCAACAACTATAGTACAATATACCCATCACACCTTTTCGGGTTTAAACGCTCTTTTTAACTCAGAAACTTTTTCTGCTCACTTCACGCTTTCACTCAACAAATCCTCAGTATCTGTGATTTCACCTATGGCCAACACGATCTCCCAGAAAACATACCTCTCTGTCACCCGTTCCGACAGCGCCGCTGGTCAAATACTCTGTACTGCTCACATGTATGAGGGAATAAACCTGTCGAATTGTTCTAACCCATATAGTTTCCTCGTCTGACAGAACCTATTTGTCCTTCTCAACCCCACCCCCTTTTGTATTCGTTTTTTCTGCTACTTGGTTCGTTCTACCCCTTACCCGTTGTTTACGGCTACGTTGCTGCTCTAAAGTTGTACAGGCTGTTAGTCGTTGCGGTATAGTCCTTTATTTTTTCCGCGTCCTCCATATTCCTAAGGCAAGTGACGATGACACATTTTTGCTCATAGGTTGTCTACATTCGGACCACAATGAGGACTAAACGTGTATTTCTCTGTAATTCATTTGTTGTGTTGTCCCAATCATAGAGCAATCGGATTGCATTACTATGCTCCCTACCCATCCTGTTTGAACATCAGGGTTCCCTTAATCTCTGACCAGTGATCCAATTCATATCATTGGATGCAGCCAAGTTTCGTGATACCCGCAGTATTCTGGCCATGTGGCCTACTTTACCAGTAAGCGAACAAATGTGGTTACTCACGGTTCTTTCTTTTCAGTATCTCCTCAGTTACCGTTTTCCGCACCACATCGTATCTTGACTCCATACGGATCGTTACGATCACTGCAGTTGTTCCCAAGGGCGTTTAGCGGTGCTCTATGTCCCCGCTTTGTTGCTAACTCACTCCTATGTGCCGTGCGTTTATGCCTCTTCCTACTGCTCGCAATCTGATTACGTAACCCAGTCTCATATAAACCGTTTACCTCCTGAATCGCATTTTCTCTCATGTTTATCTCAGAAGTGGCCAATGATGACCACACAGCAAGTATCCATGCTTTCCGGTCCAAATGAACTTAGGTTACCAGATCTCCAGGCCAGGTATCCTCTTTCTACTATTAGTAAAAAGGTTTTCTTGGTTACCCATTCTACGCATATCCTGTGTAGCTTCAACATTACATTCGTTCCTCTAGTGGTTACCCGTTCGTGAGCGGTGGTCTACTGGTGTGATCCACACTGTCCGGCAGCGAAGTATCACTGTTGAACACCCTGTTCTGCTATCAATGATGATGACATTTTCCGCCATAAGGTCTCCCTCTATTCAATCGAAGGGCTTGAAATTAATCACATGCAAAACCATATCCGTCATTCTTCCTAACTAGTATGTAATTGTACCGGAAGAGGTAGTGTCAGTGAAGCAGTCGCATGATATTAAGTTGGATTATTGGATACACAAGATTTGTACGGAGTGGCTGTGTAACTTAACATAGTTTGTATACCTCACAGTCACTATATGTGTCAGGGTAAGGGTGATCAGAATTTTGTAACTCAAAGCATTGGTTCCTGTTGCAACTGAACGGATCTCGGACTGCTGTGTTCCTTGCTGTTAGCGCTTGTGAAGTCGTCACACTTTAACTGCTGTTATACTCAAGCATGGGGATTAGCCGACATGTGGGTTGACCATCCGTGTTCTCCCTTTACGTACAAACTCATCCAGCTGATCAGAAACGCAACCGGCTACCATAAATATATCGAACTTACATTTGTCTCACTGACGTATATTCTCAAGCTTGCATTTTGGAAAAGCTCGTGGTATCTGAATGGTCATCCTAGAGCTGTAAAGTTTGACTGAATGGAATAGTTTCAGGGAGCTGAGAAACCAGTACCATCCATGCACACTTGTAGGGGAAGTGTGTGCCTAGGATACGTCGATTGAATAGTTATCTCTCCTGCATATACTATGGTGAAGTAGTAACTCACTGATATGCTGGGAGGGAAACAATTTTCGGCCTCATAGTCAAAAAGCTTTGCTATGCACGTTTTGAGAAATTATGTTGGTTCGGATTTCACGTGCTGTCCCCGCCAGCCGACAACTGGTTAATAGCTAGTGTCGACAGATCAGGTTGCACAGATAGTACTTAGTTTGCTGAAGGGACAATTAAGTCGCTATATCGTTATTACCAATCGAAATGTCATCACTGTTGTGTCCCTATGAAGCGAATACGGGCGTACGTAAGTGCTTTAACGTTTGGTATTGGTGCATTTATATAATTTTTCAGGCCGTATATCACCTTCGATCACGGTTGGCTGTTTCGAGGCTTTCCTGTTGCTGGTTCGTTAGCGCGTGTTCTGATTGGTCGACGTCTCTGACACCGGTGCTCAGCCGTTACGCCATACCAGAACTCATCGTCGACTTCTAGAAAAATAAGAAAACTTTCAAGATCGTACTATCTAGCACCCCCTAGCTCAAGGGAAACGACCATCTGTATAATGTGCTCCACCAAAATAATGCTTGCCATCAAATCATTCGGTCGCTAGGCACAGCGCTTGGGTTGTATTTTCTGTAAGCAGCCATTTTGTGGAAAAAGCCTCTTCGAAAGACCTCTCTGGAAAAAGCAGTATCCTATTCTAGCTTACAAATCAGTTCAAAGGACACTGCTATGATTTCGCGCATTAGCCTTGCACTTTTGCATGGTTATAAGGCAGTGAAACAGGAAACCTGCTGCAGATTCGCCTGTGGAATTCGGGCCTAAGCCAGCTGGATTTAGAAAGACCCCGAAATATCTTCACTGCTCTACTGACCCGCCACTGAAAAATCGATCATCAAAAAGCGTGCCTGACTATTCCAGCGTGTTCGAATGTTTTGTGGATAATGAGCTGGGACAATGTATTTATTTGTTTCCTTTGATCCGATTTGTGTGCAGAACGCGTCCGAAGGTCGAAATGGTGCATGGATATTTCACTTTCATATAGCCTCTGATAAAACGGTTTGATGAAGCTGCTGGAAATTAGGTGGTTGATGCTGGTGCAGATAGGCATAATTCTCCTTGATTTATACTTAAATGGACAGAGTGACCCGACCCTTCGGTAAACTTCAGTCCATCGAAGTTCATTACGTGGAATCTTCAATTCCGTGCATCAGGCTCACAATATATCAATCTTTCTGACGACCAACGTGGGTCCACAGACTCAGTTCACTGACCTTTGGATCATTGGCCGTTAAATTCCTGGACCTTTATCTCATGAAAGTGTCAGGTCACTGTAGTAAATCTCATTAGTTGCATTCAGACCTGTGGCTCTGAGCGCAACCTCTGTGAGATTCCATTAAATTACAGTTGCTGCTTTCTATCGTCCAGCCTCCATGAAATTCAGTGGACGTATGTCCTCATCCCACCTGTCTTTGCTGGGATGCCGTGAAGATGTTGTCGGTGTTCTTCATTTCTTCACTCTGCATATTAGATTTCCTGAAACAGACTGAACCGAAGGCGGACTGGCCTTACTCAGGTGTCCACAACATCCGTCCTTATCAGGCTTCTGAGAGACAGCGTCTTGTTAAACTAACTCACAACGCCACCCGTGCATCTGGCACCCTAAATACTCGCACCCCTTCATTTGAAAATAATCGCAACTTTAATTGAAGATGTTTGGAACCGATCGAGAAGTGATTGTTTTAGAAGAGCTTGGTAAACAATCAGTAGTTTTTTAAGTAGAGGACGTTTCCTTTTGACATGGCGCCTGATAAAGCTTTTGTGTCAAAATCGAAGCGTTGCCCAATTAAAAACTAAAACCATAACTTTACTTCATCACTTTTACCAGCTCCATGGTAGTAGTGTTGTTTATTGGTCTGTACTTGTTTTGTATCATGTATGTTTAAGCATGCAGTTGAATTTTTAGAGTATTTCAAAAATTTCACTTTCGTGTCTTGAAGTAACTATTATTAAGCACCAATACTACCTGACCTCTTTGCAGTTGCTGACTCATCAGTTGGGCGGAGCTCCTGAGGTTTTCTGTTGACCTCATGTCCTACTTAAACAAATAAAATTTCAAAGTTAATGTGCAATAACGTTCCGAATGTGCGATCCTACAATTAGGTAATCGTTATCAAGTAATTTTGTAATTTGTGTAATCCAACCTAAATATAGGGAATGTATTTCTTTGATGCTTCAACGTCTCAATACAATCAGTTGAAAACAGCTCCAACCAAAGTGGGATTAACAAAGTTGAACAATGGATGTATCGGTAACTTGTGTATCAATTCCATGTCGGATTCCTGTCACTAGGCGGTCGGAATTGCCACAATCCTCGTAGTAGGCAGCATATGCGGCGAAAACCAGAGTCTGTAGCATTGCACTCATGAATTTGTTTCGGAAAAGCATCCGCAGCAAGTAGAACATAAGGTTGATGGAAACTCGGGGGCTGCACCTACCTGATGAGCCTCAAGAAGGGCGAAACCGGTCGTGGGCTGTCGACGGATTTTCATCAACCCTATGAGTAGTGGACTACGAACAAACATCCGTAGCTCAATTGTCTTCGTTGTATTTTTTAGGTGCGGCTCTTGTTCAATTCTGCTTCTTCTCAGCTATCGGTTGTGTGCCGTACTTTGCTACAGTTCATGGTGACTACACCAGCATAATTATTCCCAACGAATCGGTCTACAATCTTTTGTGATTCCACACATTATCTACAGGCTTCTATCTGAACCTTTAGATATTATATCCTTTAAACCCCATAGAGTTTGATCGCTTTTTGGATTTTAGATTGGTAGAATGTGTTTCATGGCTCCAGTGCACATGGTTTTCATCACAATTCGCGTGCATCTCATCTTCATCCGGAATCCCCCGGTTCTCACTTCACTTTTCAATAGATGATAGTTCTGCTACGTTGTGCAATCATACATAGATGTATATAGACTTATTATATAACATGGTAAATAAAGAGGTGGAGGTCTATATGAATTTTGATCATAAAACTAGTACAACTGTCTGATGAACAAACATGTTATATTCATCCTGCCACGGTGGAATCTCCATATCGAGATATCACTTCAGAGAAGAGCTACGCCTTCCCCACAGATTTCCTCACAGGTTGAACCAGCAGGTAAGGGTTGTATTGTTTTTGATACAAGAATGAAGGAGGATTCAGCCTTTTGGACCATTTTTCAAGAAGTGACCTGCGTAACTTTCTGGTTGCTTTGTTAGCGGAGCTCAAACTTGGTGGTAGACCGAAGGCAGACGCGTTTGTGCCGTCAGTTTATCTCCAAATTTCCTGGTAAACCTGTGGGATTTTTGGTTTGGTCCTTCTCACACTCTACGGTTTTCTTCAGATAAATCGGCCTGATTACACGGCAGTGAATCCCTGACTTGCGGGTCTTGAGAAAAATTAATCACATCGTTTAGGCGTGGATAATTTCGCCCTTAACGAAAAATTGAGCTGTGTGACGTGCTCGCTTCACATGTCAGATGTGGAGTTCGAACCCCAGCATGGCCGATGGACTCCAACAGATTATTGATTGCGTCTGAACGGGAGCAGGACCGTTGAAACGATGGCGACGTCAGTGTGAATTCTACAGATCTCGCAACTAACAACAGTTTACTTAAGTGACTAAATTCACAGGACAGTAGAAGTATTTTTAGTACATTTCAAGTCCCGGTCATATGGTCAGGAAGTTTCCACAAACATGCTAACAGGAATTCACGTAACTGAATTTGCAGAAAGAATTAGGATGGTTCCTTCGACTAGGTACATGTTACTTTTTCCATCTATCGAGGTGTCGGAGTCCTTAGTTTATTTAGCGGATTTATTTTTTCCATCTAATCAATACAAGCGGCTATTGTGACAATCACTAGAAGACAGGTTCCTTCCGGATCATTCAGCTACCGCGTGAAAATGATGTGACGGAAACTGACAGAAGTAAGTGGGGTTGTCTGCTTACTCGGACATGTGCACTCGATCGATCTGATGACGACGAAAATGGAGACCCCAAA